TTGTATATTCCAAAAGGATCCACTAGTATCTCATAAAGATGGGCGTTATGTCAAACACAGAGGTGAGCAATGATTGTTAAGAGGGCTAAAGATAGACCAAACTTATTTGGCTCAGGACCTACAGCATTACAGCTCTTCACAATCGGGGAAATTCTAATCAGACAGTCAGTAGAATCTTTTTTTCACCAGCAGGTGACAGGGTGAGGGGGATGTACTGAGATAAGGTCTCTCCGTAACCTCTGACTGTCCTGGAAGTCACTCTGTAGACCAGGCTGGCCTTGAACTCATAGAGAGCCACCTGCCTCTGACTTCCAAGTGCTGCAATTAAAGGTGTGCACCTCTACACCCAGGAGAAATCTAACATATTCCAGAATTAGTAAAGTGACTTGAGAGACTCTACATGAGTGAACACCTATAGACCTTTCTGCTTCACCATGCCATCCTCTCACTGAACTGTTTCTGGCTTCTTCTACCCTTCAGGTGGCCTTGGAATGTACCCTGTTCTCTCCCACCACAGGTTTTTCATGCATGTTCTTCTCGCTTCCTGGCTCACCCTTCCTCTCCAACCTTTACTCCCTTTGCTTACCTAATCAATTCACCCTTCCTAGTCACTTCCTGATCCTGAGTTGCCCTCCCACCATTCATCCTCCTCACCCTTTTGAATTTAAAATAGTTTAATGGCTCCCCTCATCTTCCATAAAGTGCAAACTTCAACAGAGTATAGATCACACTTATCTTAGCTCTTCATTGGGTCCTTGGTACCTAGCATAGGACATCAAAGACACTCAGTGGACACTGTCTACTCTCTGAAAGGCATAGAATGGCTGGCCATTCTTGCTTTGACCCATTATCCAACCCCAAGGCAGCTCCAATAAATAAGACTGTCTTCTGAAAGCCCCCAACATTTGTAATAATGGTTAAGGGAAGGGACTTCTTTAATTTGAATAAGGGCCAAGCTGTGCTTTCACATAGACCTGCCTATCATAACTGCTTTTTAAGTATGATTTAGTGGTTATATCATTACCAAGGAAAGTTATTCATAGCCTGTTATCTATTATCTTTATATGTATATTGTTTCATATACTCTGTCCAGTTTTGTTTTGTTTCAGGCAGGAAGTTATGTTTGGTCTTTACTCCTTCTCCATCTTGGCCAAAAGCAAGAACTGCTTTGCAGAGTTAGATTTCATTATAGTGGAGTTTGGCTTGTCTCAGAAGAAAGCAGTTGGAACTGGCCAAGTAAGGAACTTGTATCAAGGTGGTTGATCTTAAAGTAGCACTTATATGAGTGTTTAGGGCTTCTACAGCGACATAGATATGGTGGAGAGCAATCCATTTGTAGGCAGCTGAATATCCACTACACATAGAATTTTAGCTCTTTGGATAACTGGCTCAAAAAGCTAGAATAAACTCAGGTCCACCTGGTAGTAGTATTTCTTAATCAGTTTTCCCCCCGCTACCTATCTCAAGTTTCAAGTCATATTATTATAGGGCCTGTAAAAGCTGTGTGTGTGTGTGTGTGTGCCTGTGTCTGTGCATGTGTTTGTGTGTCTGTGTCTGTGCATGTGTGTGTAACACAGATGACCAGTGTTTGGTTTCAGTTTTGGAGGAGTCACAGTTCCCAGCCACAAATGAAGCTGAAAATGATGTGGTTGTGATTTCCCCCAAGTTCTTGAATCCCTGGTTTCCCCTGTTATTACCAGACTAGATCCATAGCACTTGCTATATGGTGCCTGTGAGTAAGAAATTGGAGAGAAACATTAGTCTTGCTCCAGTGTTGAATTTGGGACTGAATAGCATTGTTCTTTTAACCCCACTTGTGTTTTTGAGCCTGGGAGCAGCTGTGATAGTTCCTTTGAAAAAAAGAATTCTCTAACCCTCTGGATAAAAGGGCCTTTCAAAGCAGCCCCTGTGGATTTGGAAGGATGTGTTCCATTGTTAAGGGATGAATGAATGTGCTATACTGTAACACTTAACCCTAACTTCAAATTGCAAGGAAAGATATGGGTTGCTAAAAATACATATGAACCCAAAATGTCTTGAAATGAATGAGCACTTTATCAGGTTCTATATCATGGTCATCACATCAGTGAGGAATTGCTTGCTTAAAGATGTACTATGCCTTTCTGCACAAAGCCTTCCTGCCCCATCTCCAGTATGAATTACAGTCCTTTCTGGCACTCCCTTTTTCTTTCTTCTCTAATTTCCTCCATTGGTCCTCTGATGGTCTGTACCCTGACCCTCATCATGCTACCAGGTATGCCTAACCCACAGCCTATAGGTATCATGCACCACTGGGTAGCTATGGATGTGGTTCAACACAAAGTAATAAAGTTACTTAAAACATGTTTTATTTTTCCTTTTGGTTTTTCAAGAAAGGGTTTCTCTGTGTAGCCTTGGCTGTCCTGGACTCACTTTGTAGACCAGGCTGGCCTCAAACTCACAGAGATCTGCCTGCTTCTGCCTCCCTGAGTACTGGGATTACAGGTGTGCACCACCACACTGGGCTAAATATGGGTCTTTTTAAATTTTTATTTTGTGATTCAATTGTGAAGTTCTTGAACATGAGCTTTGAAAATGACAATATTGTGATGCAGTGTTAATGTGCCTGAGCAAAGTCTGGTCTTTGATACAGCATCAGACTGATTTTGAAGGTGAAAGTGTCTTGTTTCAGATGTGTGTCCCTGCAGCTAAGCACAATGCTTGGCACAGTCTACCTTCAAAAACACCTAATGAATGAAATCCCAGGTGATTTCATTGGGTTCAGTTAGAACCCAGCTCATATTACACACAAGCAAATAAATGGTAAGTCTGAATTTTGTGATAATGAAACATTGTTTATGTGCAACATCCATCATGGCAGCCACTACCTTCAGTGGCTACCCAGGGAAAATGGACAGTGCAACTGAGGAAATGAATTGGTTTTTGTTTTGTTTTGTTTTTACTTCCTCTTAAATAACTTAAATTTCAATAGCCACAGGTACTAGTGACAACTTGATCAGATAGCACAGTCCCAGAGCAGCTGTTTAATGAAGATCAGATACAACAACAAGCATCCATCTTGTTCTTCATATTATCCCAGACACTGAGAACATGAGGTCACAAATGATACAGAACACACTTGTCTGTTTTATCTTTATATAATGGGACAGATCAAGGCTAAGGATGTTGGTTTCTCTTAGGTAGGCAGCTGGAAAGAATTTGGACTTTAGTTTTATTCCTTTCACTGGGTCCCCAGAGAGCTATGTGGCAAAATAAAATGGATCCCCAGAATCAACATTCACAAACCTCAAGTGTCCAAAGCTCTTTAAGAGATTAACTTGCTAATGAACATGCAACCATATTATGCACTGATTCTATATTTTGATTTTTTGCACATCTGCTTCAATGAGTTAGACCTTTCCAAATACAGCTGGTCATCATTTTGAAATAGAAGGACACACAGGCTCCTTCGAAAACCCTGATATTTTGTATTTTCCAATGAGCTAAAGAGCAATTGCGAGGAGCAAAGGGAATCCTGTCACTTCCTGAGGTCTGCTGAAATGAATATTGTATTCACATAGGGTATTTATCTGAGCAAAGTTCATCACTAGCTTATTCTGTGAGGTTTGCAATCCCTGACTCCTATGAAGATCATTTGAAAGGAAGACTTTTCACTGGCTTGGTGTGCTTACCCTGAGCTAATGAATTGCCTTTGATTGCTGTTAAGCATGTTAATGCAGTTAAAGTTGGATTTTCCCTGACAGGCCATTTACTGAAGGGTCTGGATAATATAAACATGAATGGGAGATTAGGAGAGTGAAAGACAATATCCCCAGGGCCAGCACTGCAATAACTGGAAGATAAATGTCACCTGGCTGTGGAGGTCAGGCAGGCCTTTATGGACATTTCAAGGAAAAGGTTCTTTAAAAAGTAGACAACAGACAACGGGGCTGGATTAGTCATCTCAGTGGTTCAGAGTACTTCTTGCTGTTGCAAAGGGCTAGGGATCAATTCCAGCACTTACAAGGAGAATCACCAACTCCTCAGGTGTGAAGCATGTGAATGGTACACAGATATGCTTAAATGCAGGCAAAACACTCACACACATAAAATAATAAAAAAATAAATCATCTTTTAAAAAAAGTAGATAAAACTCTCATTTTCTCAGACCAAGTATGAAGTCTGGCCCTGTCTCCTTCATTTCACCTCATGGAGTCTCATTTTGTCCTTTTTTCTCCCCTTTTCTGTTTCTTTTTCCCCTTCAACTGCTGGGTTTGGGTTCTGAGTCTGAACATGTAGCCTGTGTGTTAAGATAGAAGCTGGGGAGGAGGATGAAGAGGAGAAGGACCACGAATGAATTGCTTGTGCTACCCATGTCGGGGAGGGGCAATTTTTATTAAACCACTGGGGTAATTTCTGTTCTCATTTTGAAGCAAACTGAGGTCAGCCCACTTGGGTGGATCGTGTTGACTTGGTACTTCAGTACCTTAGGGACCCTTTCCAAAATGATCCCCTTTGCTATTTTTCCAAACCCAGCAACACTCTAACGACCACATTGGATTCTCCTAGTCTCTGAAGACATGAAGGGCTCTTTGAAACTGTAAAGGCTGGGTTTGGAGAAATCCTGACTGTGGCTATTTTTCCTGAAGCCACAATGGCTCTGTAGTCCTCCTTTTTGCCTTTATCAATGGGATGGGCGTTCCCAATTGTGCTTCTCTGCCTCACAGTCAGTCAGTGAGGAAGCTCTCAAAGGAGGTTATATCTCATAACTGACAGTTGATGAGTGTGACACCCTACCTTTGGAGACTCTGAAAAAAGTCAGCTACACTCCCATTTGAAGTGCCGTAGTCCTCACTCGTGGGATGTGAGATCATGGGAACTATCCCTGTGGTCTTTGGAATGTTGACGTATTAGTCATAGAGCTGAGAAGGGGGATAGAGCAGAAATGTATGTGCTCACGGTACTGTTCAGGAAAACCAGAAGGATTCCTGCCCATCATGCCTTTTCCTCCTTTAATCTAGGTTGCTTCGAATGCTGCATCAAGTGTCTGGGAGGAGTTCCCTATGCCTCCCTGGTGGCCACCATCCTATGCTTCTCTGGAGTCGCCTTGTTCTGTGGCTGTGGTCATGTGGCTCTTGCAGGCACTGTGGCAATTCTTGAACAGCACTTCTCCACCAACACCAGTGACCATGCCTTGCTGAGCGAAGTGTGAGTATCTGCTTCCCTTGACAAGTGTATGTAAAATGCAACTACCTCACAATGTTTTCTGACAGACTAGCTTATCCTTTTCTGACAGAAAATCAATACCTTTGATTAAAGTTTGCTAAATTCAGATAGAAAAAGTCCCACAAGGGATGGGGATGTAGCTGGGTTGGTTACAGCGCTTGCCTTCCATGCAGAAAATGCTGAGATCCATCCCTGGAATGGCAGAAACTGGGCATGCCTGCATTTCCAGCACATGGGAGATAAAAGCAGAATGATCAAAATGTCCACAGGCATGGTCCTATTTAATTGTATACACATAAGAAATTCTAAAGAATAATTATTAAGATTTATTTATTTATTTTATTATGTACACAATATTCTGCCTGCATGTACACCTCTGCCAGAAAAGGGCACCAGATTTCATTATAGATGGTTGTGAGCCACCATGTGGTTGCTGGGAATTGAACTCAGGACCTCTGGAAGAGCAAGCAGTGTTCTTAACCTCTGAGCTATCTTTCCAGCCCTCTAAAGAATAATTTGTAAAAGAAATATTAAAAGTTCAAAGTCAGCAAGTTTGAGGCCAGTCTGGGATATCAGACCTTGTATCATGAAATAGAAAGAAAGAGGGTTTTTTTTTGGGGGGGGGGGGCGGAGAGTAGCCCATTATACAACAAAAGAGAAAAGGCCGAGAATATGGTGGGTGCTTGAGGCCCAGGGTGGAATCTCATTTGGGCATGACCAGATGTACATAGGTGTACAAGGTGTTAGATGTAGTGGACTGTAACACGATGACAAATTGATGGACAGTTTTCACTGTTCCCAAGTAACAAGGATACTCTCGTTTGCCCCTGGAATAGATCCTCTATGGAGGACCCACTCAGGCCTAAGTTGACAGGAGCAGCCCTTCCACATTAATTCTTCTGGAAGGAGAACTAAGCCCAGTGCACCTTGAGGCAGCAAAGAGGAAGCTATGGAAACAGCTCCAGCCTTCTGTCTTCCTATTCTGGACTTTTTCTCAGCAGAGGCTCAACAGTTCTCAAGCTTGATCTCATGACTGCAAACCCCACTGACATGTGTTTTTCCTTCAAGTAGCTTCCCTTCACTCAATTCCTTGATCGTTGGGTTTAGTTTCAGTGTATATGGGTTGTAATTGTGAAGAAACATCAATATCAGAGTGGAAAAGGCAGAAATGAATGTGGAATTGTGATGAGATGGCTATTTGGTTGTTGAGGGTCTTGCTATGGCCCTGGCTTCCCTTGAACTTGAAGTGATTCTCCTTCTTCTGCCTTTCAAGTGCTTAGAATTGCAGGTGTCAATTATCTTGCTGAACCAAAAAAAAAAAAAAAAAAAAAAAAAGAAAGAAAAGAAAAAACAAATCACATTTAAAAACCTGTTCAAAAATGACATCTAAAGAAATGAACAAGGACAAGAAAGCTATAATAGGGTAGTCAAACATTACAGGTGTACAGAAGAAATGTATGTGCAGAAAACTGGAACATACCCTGATCAGTAGCATGCTTGCCTAATATGCATGAAGCTCTGGGTTGGATTTGTAGCACTTCATAAGCTAGATTGTTGGCACATACCTGTATCTCAGTACTCAAGCAGGTACAAGCAGGAGGACCAGAAGTTTAAAATGATCCTCAGTGTTGATGCAAAACTATGTGTTGGAGCCAGATGACAGTGACCATGACCCAGGGACACAGATTTAGGTTACCCCCAATTCCATGTTCCAACATGAAAGCAGTTTAATATTTTTATAGAACAATAAAGAAAGCCACAAATCTTCAAATACACTGATAAGAAAGATAAAAGAGGCAGGTTACAGCAATGCGGAAAACCTCTGTTGATGGCCTCAGATGCTGTCTGATGATGACACTTGGCTTTTATTTGATAGAAGCTAGTGCTTCAGTAAGTTAATACATTCTAAAGACTTTTTGTGTGTTAGTCACAGAGTATTTGGTCTGACAAAAAGGTGGACAAGGAGTGGCTATGTAGGGGGTTAAAGACAGCCCAAGCTAAACTGTAATTAGGCTCTGGACCTGTCCACATCATTAAGTTCTAAGCAGTTACTAATCTTAGTAGGAGTTTCAGTTTGAAAGCACGTTTTCTTTCTCAGAATGTTTGTCCACATCAGTTATATAGCAAGTTCAAAGCCAATCTGAGATACATGATACTTCTTCTCTGCATATAGAAATATGTAGAGAAGAAATATCAGAGAAGGTATTTTAACCTAATTAACTAGTGATCTTAATCCAATCTCAAACTTAGAAGTTTGAGAGTTTGAGAGTTTAAGTGTTCCCAGACATCACTGTAGAGTAGTTAACTAAATCTCTTGGAGGTGTTATGCAGGTAGTAGGATTTTCTAAAACGACCCGGATTATTTCTCTGGGCAGCCAAAGCCTGAGGACCTGCTTTCAAAGACAAACTTAGTTGTGAATGAACTTTCAGTAGTTTACATATAAGCTGATGTCCCATCACTTGTGTAACAACCATCTGCACAAATTTCTCTTTAAATATATCCTGAGGGCTGACTTAGGTATTTTCTCAGAATAGCATCAGCCACCAAGCCTGGTTGGGAAGCATTTTGATATGTTGGGAAAAGTATGTTGTCTATTGAACCAGGATCCAAATACCTACTCTGGCACCATGTAGCTTTGAATGGGTAGCTTAAGTCTTCTGTGTCCATGCTACATACAAAATAGATATATAAACCTTCACTGCACAAGACTTGGGTAAGTAGCAGTGCTCCACAAGCAGGACCTGCCCATGATTAAAGGAAACTCTTGCCTGTTCCTTGAGAAGGTCCTCTACATCATCAATAGACCTACTAGGAGAAGAAGCCCTGGGCTACTGGAGTGGACAGAGATATCCCCCCTTGGACTGCCCTACGAGCCTGCTGAAGCCACAAGAGATGCCACAGTAAGGGTGCCTCACATCCCCACTCCACAATGCCTCTCACATTTGCAGCTGTCTTCTTTTCACAGGATCCAACTGATGCAGTATGTCATCTATGGAATTGCATCCTTCTTCTTCTTATATGGCATCATTCTGTTGGCAGAAGGCTTTTACACCACAAGTGCAGTGAAAGAGCTGCACGGTGAGTTTAAAACAACTGCCTGTGGCCGATGCATCAGCGGAATGGTGAGTACTAAACTCAGGTACTCAGCCAATCAGTGCATGGCTGTGTTTCTTTCTACTTGGTGAAACTAGGAGCTATTCATGGAAGGTCCATGACACAAATACTGCTCTTACCAACATGGCCTTAAGAACTTGAAAAGCATTGTGTTTTCAAGTTTGTGACTAATAATATTAAACAAAAGAAACAAAGTTGTCCTGTTTTAGGAGGCTCTGTACTAAAGGAAGATAAATCTTAAAAGACAAGGTTAAAAACTTTTCTTTTTCTCACTCTCTCTCTCTATACATACACACACACACACACACACACACACATACACACACATACACGCAAATGCCACGTTGTACATGGGAATGTAGCACTGGGAATCAAACCCAGGGCCTTCTGCATGTTAGGCTACATCCCAGCCCTTGTACAGGCTTTGTAAATCATGATATATCCCTATCGAAGTGTTGCCAGACAGCCGGACATGTTGCTATGCATTGGAAGAACAGTATGATGAAGAGAAAATATTTGGACATCTGAGAAAAGTACTAACACTGAGGAAGAAACGTGAGACATGTTGTGAGTCCCCAAGAAGGAAAGAATTAGAACTTAGGCAAGGGCTGTGGGCTTCCTAGCATATAGCAGTGACTATATCCCACTGCAAGAAGACAGAACCAGAAAGAACAGGATGTGGCTCTGGCTTCCAGCATCAGGAGAGCCCACTGTTTAAAAGTTTTCAGCAAAGAGGCATTCTGATTGGGTTAGAATTTGTTGTGTCTGTGGTGACTTGGTGGTCTGAACCCAGGCATAAAGTATATTATGGACACTATTATATCAAGTTTCTTAAGGTAAACAGGGCTGGTGAGACGGCTCAGTGGGTGAAAAGGCTCACAATACCTACTACACAACCTGAGTTCAAACTTGAGAATCCACAATGGAGGGGAAAAAATCAATTCCCTGAAGGCTGACCTTTGACCTCTGCAAGTGTGCTATGGCACCCACACACCTCTATATATACAATACTCACACAGTGATTGAAATTTTTTTTAAATGATCAAGGTAAATACAATCCAGCCTTGATCAGAAGTATTACTACCCTGGGAAAGGCCTGGGAATACCAGGGGATATAGGCTGTTCCAACTGCTACCCTATCTGGCCCTGGGTTTCTCTGTTCTTGGCTACACACAGTGGGAAATTGGAGGCTTGGCAGAGTTGTGATGCCAATGGGAGCACTGAAGTGCAGAATCAGGAAGGGCATTATGCCAGATGAAAAACAGGAAGTTGCTTCACATGAGACCAGGAAAGAGGAACTAGTATGAGCAGGGGAGGCCCAGAAAACCCCAGTCATGTGACTAGGCTTAACAGGAAGAGTGGGGGTGGCAGGAAAGAACCCTACTTGAAGGAGGAGTAGGGGACCCAATCAAGATGAGCCATAAATATCAGGCTAGGAATGCCATTGGTAGGCAAACACAAGGGGGCTGTTGACAGGATCAACTCCATAAGATTTGGCCAGTTACCTAGTGGTATGGAGGATGAAGTTAGGGAAGTGAGCTTATAAGAGGCCATTTTAAGATTCAAGCAAGGCAGTCTGGAGAGATGTGAACTGGGCCCAGGCAGTAAGTAGAGTAGAGGATGGCTCTGGGTATGATCACGGGTAGGACAGGGAGAGGAAGAAATGAGTGACAAGTCTGGCTCCAGTACTGTTCTGAGGATCTGTATGCTGTTAGGGTGTGGAGAATTCAATTGGATTCAGTATGACCCACAGGGTCTTGATAGAGCCTTTCTGGGCCATGTGCCAGTGTGTCATATACAGGCTTGGAGCTGGAGTTTCTTAGAATATTTTGGTCTGAAATGACTGAGAGCCTACTAAGAGTAGTAACTAAGAAAGTTTCCACCAAAGTTTGTAGAGGAGTCCCAAGGTACATCATTGTCTGCTTAGGTAGGTTCATATAGAGACAAATACTGTTTCTGAGAGTTCAAGAAAGTAGTGGCCAAGGAAATTCCTGTAAAGGATCCAGATCATTTGATGGATCAGGTCCAGTCTGTGTGTCATCCTTCCTATTAATGGCCTCCTCACCATTACCGGAACCCATATCCTGAAGGCTGTGGCACATGGTGCCTGAAGATGCCTGAGCAGCCTATAACCTTGCCCTGACCTCCACTCTTCTACTCCTGTCCAACTGGTACCACAATTGAATGGTTGTGCCTTAGGCTCCTACTCTCCCTTGTACCACTGTCCTGTCACAGGACTGCCCTGGCATCAATTCCCTCAGCACAAGAAAGACAAGGCCATAAATAGTCTTACCACTGTAGCCACCATTCCTGTTAGGGACCATATGCCCTGACACCTCATATCAGCAGTATCTTCTGGCAGGTCTGGGACCTGGGACCTGCCGATTAGACCACACTGGGTAGGTAGCAAGCCCCAGGGATGTGCCCATCTCTGCCTCTTCAGCTGTGAGGCTACAGGTGTGTGCCACCACACTCTTCTTTTTATGTGGTGGCTGGGGATCAAACTTGGGCCCTCATGCTTATAGCACTTTCCCAACTGAACCATGTCTCTAGCCCCCACTTTGACTTTTAAAATGTTTCTATTTATTTAGTGGGCTGAGGACCATAATAGCACATCACACAGCATACAAGGCATGGTGTGTGTATGGATGTCAAAGGACAACTGGAAAGAGTCAGTTCTTCTAACTTATGCATTCTAGGGATTGCCGAGGTCACCATCAGGGTTGGCAGCAAGTGCCATCTTACTAGTCTTCACTTTGGATTTTAAAGGTTAGATTGGCAGGGCAAAAAAAAAAAAAAAAAAAAAAAGGTGCAGGGTTGATGGCACTGCTACAGCATGTCACTGAGAGGTGAGGAGATGAGGACTGCTCTCTGTTGAGGAGGGCCTTTCTTTCCTCAGGCCTTTGTGGAAAACAAACACCTACTTGCCTGGGGGTGGAGAGAGAGCCTACTGAGGAAGGGTCTGAACACCAGATTCATCGTGTTTTGGGGAGCAGCCTCCAGTGGGTGCTTTCTACTTAACACTGGCTTGACCTCTGAAACCCAGATCCTCCGTGAGAAATAAAGGCTTGCCATGACTAAGAATCAGTAGCCCCTTCTCAAGTCCCCGAGGTGTTATTAGAAAGCTCACCAAGGGCATCAGTTTTCTGTGGATAAGGAAAGAATGAGAAAACCTGTTCTAGAACAGCCATCTTAGAGGGAGAACTCCTGACCTGACATTTGATCCTTCAAATAGTGTTAGCAATGCAGGTACTTGAGAAATTGTGAAGGTCCTTGAAATGACAGTATCTTGTATCTGTAGTTTCCCAGGGTGGCCAGTAGGGGGCAATGAGACCCTCTTATCCAGGTCAGCCTGGACAGACATCTATAGCATAAAGTTAGGCGAAGCTGCTATCTAAGAAGAAAATGAGAATCTCGGCATATTCCCTGTGTTCGTGACTGTTTGAAACTTTTGGTCAAGGTTCAAGCGTCTAGTGCTTCCAGTAAGTTCCCAGGAGGAGGAAATTGGCAGATTTCCTTTTGAAAGAAGCCTTCCGTTGGCAGTTGCTATTTTTGCATACCCACATGCAAGGTAAAACAAAGGGAAGTGCTGAGAAATCAACATGATGTTATGATTAAGTAGCCTGTAAAGACACCCTGGACCTATCCCACGTTTAGTACGATGCTGGGAGTTTAGAAAGAATATCTCATAGGCTCGCTCAAGTGTGCTGGCCTGTGATCCCAGCTTTATTTTATATAAGGTTGAGGTAGGAAAATCAGTGGTTTCAGCAACTTATTGAGACAGTTTTTCTAAATAAAAACATAAGGAGGGAACTAGATATTTAGCTCAGGGGCAGAGCATTTGCCTAGTGTGTGCAAGGCCCCAGATTCAATTCCCAGTACAAAACACACAAAACAAGCCACAATAAAACAAGATCAAACCTCATTCAGTCCTTGTAACTAATTAGTTGGGTGAGTAAGGTCACCTCTCATGACCTTGATGGCTAAAAGGGGAACATGGAGGCAGGAGAGAGAGCAAAACTCAACATGAAAAAGACAGGCATAGTGTCCCAGCTTAGAATCCTACTACTAGGGAGGCAGAGACAAGTGGATCCCTGGGGTTCAATGGCTAGCTAGTCCAGCCTGCATGATCTGTTCCAGAACATTGAGACATGCTCTGTCAACAGCAACAAAGTAAAAAAGCACTGAAGAAATAGTCAGGATGTCTCCTGGCCTCCACAATTCACACACACACACACACACACACACACACACACACACACACACACACGTGTACATGCATATATTCACACACACACAATCAATTAATGAGTCAATCAATCAGTCACTCAAAAAGGGCCTGAGAAAGCCTCTCCCAGCTTCTCTACCCTGAGCAGATATTTCTTCCTTGGTTGCATAGCAGGCGAAGCCCCTGGAATGCATCCTGTGTCTTACAGGTCCCACACTGGGCAGAAAAGTGCAACCCTTCCTCTGAGATGAATGTGCCCATTTCAGTGAGATTCTCCCCCCCCCCTTCTCATTGTCTGCCTAGTTCGTTTTCCTCACCTATGTGCTGGGAGTGGCATGGCTGGGTGTGTTCGGCTTCTCTGCAGTGCCCGTGTTTATGTTCTACAACATATGGTCAACTTGCGAAGTCATCAAGTCCCCACAAAGCAACGGAACCTCGGGTGTGGAGCAGATCTGTGTGGATGTCCGACAATACGGTACCTCCTTTCAATCCTGTCCCCGTTACTTCATTGTCTTCTGCCTGGGTCTGGGTTCTGATTAGCACATAGCCCTCACTTTAGTCACCATAACACATTTTCTGGGGGTAAGCATCTCTGGGCCTTTTTACTCACTAAAGGATGTCATTTGAGAGTTGTAAAAATGTTTTTCAATTCAGGCATATAGTAAAATAAAAGTCTTTTATAATGCAAAACTACTTTATAATGCAGTTCAATTTAGAAAAAGACTTTTAGATACCCACCATAAGAATATATATATATAAGCCTATGGCAGTTCAGTATCCAAGTGGCCTCCATAGTAATGGGGACAGGGACTGTCTCTGACATGAACTGATTGGCTTGCTCTTTGATCACCTGCCCCCGAGGGGGAAACAGCCTTACCAGGCCACAGAAGAAGACAATGCAGCCACTCTTGATGAGACCTGATAGACTAGGATCAGAGGGAAGGAGAGGAGTACCTCCCTTATCAGTGGACTTGGGGAGGGGCATGCGTGGAGAAGGGGGAGGGAGGTACAGGGAGGATACAAATTGAATAAATTATAATTAATAAAAATAAATTAAAAAGAGGAAAAAAATAATGTATATATATATATATACACATACATATATTAGTTTTTCTTTTTTGCCCTCTTTCTCTTCTTCATTTTTAATTTTATCTCACTATATAGTCTAGGCTGGCCAGCTGGCCTTTACCTCATAGCTCCACTTCAGCCTCCTGAGTGCTGAGATCCTGCCATGTGCTCCTAGGCCCAGCTCTTTTCAGTTTCATACTGAATTTTCACCTACTACACTTGCATGCCTGCCTCTTTGAAGGGAATCTTTACAAAATGACCAATTGCTTTAACTTATGTGTACTGAAAAACTCAACAACAAATGCAGATGGATTTCAAAGCCATTACAATGGATTCTGCAAGAGCAGTCTCAGTAGTTCAGAAGCAGGCTCAGCCATTTTGTTCTCACCAGTGGGATCCTCAGAATACAGTTCCCATGACCAGCCACAGAAGGGGCCACTGAGGCCTCAAGCCAATTAATTTGGGTGCGAATTGACTTCCTTGCTGAGAGAAGGCCACATCCTAAAGAGGGAGTGTAATTATTGCTTCCAGCTAGGAGAGTAGGAAACATGTTCTTACCAAAACACAGGGAGGAAGAGAGCTTTCCATTAGAAATGAAGATGGATTATGTCCTTCAGGAGTTCTTCTGAGCAAAGATAGCACTTTCATTTTTACATAGATTTTGTATTGCTTATTCTTATCTTATAGTAGGGTATAAAGTTAACCTAAAACTGCCCACAATAGATCTCTTCCCACAAATGCCCAGAATAAAAGGGCCCTGGATTCATTCTTAAAGTACCTGAAAAGCTGGGTATGGTGGAACATATCTATAATCATAGGAGTCAAAAAACTAAGGCAGCAAGACTGCCAGTTCTCCTGCCTGCCAGGGCCACAGAGCTAGACCCTGCCTCAAAACAAAAAAGTTTCCATAAAAGAATATGTGCAAACAATCTGTGTTCTCTAAAATAACTTTTGTTAAAAATCCTGTTTCTGTCCAGCTGGTTACTTTTTGAGATTACTTGTTTGAGTTGACATTACAGATAGGAGGAAATAAGGACTTAAAAACAAAAATTCCTTCCTTCTTTCCTTTCTTCCTTCTTCCTGGTAGAATTGTAAACTGAGGCATCCTTAATATTTAAGCACATTCCCAAGTATTAAAGAGGGAATAGTGTTAGCCCGCTGAAAAATTGTCACTGCAGAGAGAACTTAAGAGCTGCAGTGAGGAAAAAGTACAGCCTGTGCCCTTTTGGCCAGTGCACAAACACAGGTCACACATTCATGTGGCCTAAGCATCACCATCATGCTGCATGAGAGTCTTCCCCTGGACGTTAATAAATTCACTGCAGAAAAAAAAAAAAAATCTAGCCTTGAAAATGTGGGCCAGGCAGGCCATGCACACATGTACTCCCAGCATTCAAGAGGCAGAAAGGTAGGCAAGCAGATTGATTCAAGGCCAGCCTGGTCTACATAGCTAGTTCCCTGGGCAGCCAGGACTACATAATGAAACCTTATCTAAACAAACAAAAATAAGCTGGATGAGGTGTCTCATGCCTGTAATCCCAGCCCTTGGGGAAGCAGACGCAGGTGGATCTCTGGGAGTTCAAGGCCAGCTTGGTCTACAAAGTGAGTCGAGGACAGCCAAGTGTACACAAAGAAACGCTGTCTCAGAAAACCAACCAACCAACCAACCAAACCCTAAAATAAAACCTGACATTTAGAACTACTACCTCCACTGAACAAAGTACAGTCTAGAGGAGGAAAAAAAATGCCCAACTGTTATAATCTTACATGGGTGAGAGTGACTTGGCTCTTGTTCTGTTGCCCAAAGATAGTTTGCTCTTTGTTCCTTGTGGCCTAAACTTCAGACACCAGGTACCTCGATTGAAAAGGAACACGGCTTAAAATTGTAATTGGACTCTAAAATGGAAAGGTCTACTAAGAATGTGAGGCATGCTGAGATTATAGCAAAGTGACTGAGTATGTTCTTAACATGTGCAAAGACCCCAAGTTCAATCCCTAGCATGAGAGGCTAGAGGGACCTCCATAAAACCCAGGTAACCTAAATTGAAGCCAAACCACTGGGCACTACACCTTGTCATCATATTTTCTTGGGGTTCACTTTGCAGGTATCATTCCTTGGAATGCTTTCCCAGGCAAAATCTGTGGCTCTGCCCTGGAGAACATCTGCAACACGAATGAGGTAAACAAGTCTCAATCCTGACATCTCCCTCACACACTTGCTGACTTAGAACCTAAACTGAGAAACAGGGTTTTAGATGATGGCTTTCATGTAAACTGCTGAAGACTGTGTCACCATTATTTTCTACCTACAAAACAATGTCCATCTTGTATGGTCCAGCCCATTTAGGAAGGATCCTTAAGTTGATGGACTTTTCCTCTCTGCAATAGTTTGTGATTCCAAACCTAAAAATCTGAGAGATGACTTTTGGGAACATTTTCACAAAGAATACTTGTCACAGGCTAATGGAAGTTGATTCCATGTTTTGTTTTAAGTCTAGGGCTGGGAAGACGACTTAGCAGTTAAGAACATTCAGTGCTGTTCAAGAGGACCCAGGAGTAATTCCCAGCATCCAAAAAGCAACTCACAACCATCTGTTAACTCCAGTCCCAACATGCTCTTCTGTCCTCCAAGGACACCAGGCACACATGTGGTGTACATATATTTTACATGCATATAAATATCCATACCCACAAATACAATTAAAAGTAATAAAATAAAAGGTATCCTACATGTATACATATGTCAGATTTTTAGTTAGAGGCCAGAGCTAATCATGTTTATTTTCAGAACAGCTTTCTATGGGGAACTTTTGTTTTCCTTTTAGTCCTTATTTGGCAATATACCCTAACACTTTGAAATCAGATTCTCTTAACACTAGCATATATGCCAGCTGTGGGCTTACAACTGTTTATGAAACACAAGACTTCAATGTACTGGTGGGAGTGTGTATATTTAAGAAACATTGATGTGTTTTTGGAAAGCACCAAGTTATTGAAACAATCAGCCTGAACCTATCTGGCTTGTCAGTTTGTATAGGCATAACACGGATTGTTGGCACAAAGCAGAAAAGCTCCTAACCTTGGCTGCACAATGCAGTCATCGAGGGACTACACTATATACATGGTTGAGGGCATGACCTTCGGTATTCTGATGTGATTTGTCTGGGGTGCTGACTGAGCATCAGAAAGGCTTGCAGTTCCCACAGTGCTTGTAAGATTCATCTAAGACTACAAGGGTATGTGGGTCTTTGCCCAGACTGGCAGGCAATATCTGTGAAGGAGAGTGAAGCAGCATTCCAGGACACACAAATTGCTCATGGTGCCCTATTCTTTCCTAGTTCTACATGTCCTATCACCTGTTCATTGTGGCTTGTGCTGGAGCTGGTGCCACCGTCATTGCCCTGGTGAGTAACTGTCCCAGAAACACCCTAGTATAGCACTCTAAACCACAGATTTTCCTTTCAGCTTTTACTAGCAGATGAAGCAAAGGATCTGTGTATTTAGCTGTGGTTAACTGTTCCCTCTTTAAACTTACTGAATGTCTAGTTTGCAGGAAGTACTAGTGGCTGCCTTGGCACCGACTGATGCAATTTGGACACTGGAAAGAAGAGAGGGTACCAACACCTGCTGACTAGGCATAGCATGTTGCCTTATTGCATTTAGCAATTAGTTCCATGACTTCATTCATGGACAGAGACTCACGTAAGGCACTGCCCATTTATTTGGAAAGAAATCTTGACTTCCAAATAGAAAGATGAAATACATACATACATGCACAAACACACACACACACACACACACACACACACACACACACACACATATATATATATATATATATATATATATATATATAATCTCCTTATGTGCAGAAGTAACCTTATATAAAGTCAATTGAAATGTTAAATTGCATATATTGAACACAGCCTGCTGGGGAAGTAGATTAGCTTCTGGGTCACATCAGACCATGTAAATTTCAGTATAAGATAACCTAGTTAATATATACTATTGAATTATTACTATTGAATTCATGGCCAACATCACTATCACCCATACCTAGATGAAGGTTCTCTCGTACACATTACCTCTGGGACACTAGCACACCTTTCTTGGGAGATATTTTAGCAATTGTAGTACTAAGTAAGATGCTTGCTTACATTGTGAGTGCAGAGCAAATGCAGCAAAGCCTCACTGCAGAAGACTTTAGCTGGGACTGTGCCTATGAGAGGACTCAAATCTGTTAGTGCTTTGCACATGTCCAGTCATGGGTGACAGAATGTTGTTTTGATGGCTACCAAGTAGGCAAACTCAGAATCTGCACATAATGAGAATCAACTTACAAGCAAAAAGGATTGTATGCATGTATGTGTATAACTGGGTGGGAGTAGGAAGCTTGGTTCATGATTGGTAGAAAACCAATTAAGATTGGGAGAGCAAAGGGACTTCAGCTGCCTGAGGATTACCCATTCCCAGTTTTCCTAGCCATTAAGTCATTTTTCCCATGAAATCACCATGATGACCTGTTCTCTTGGCTGCGCAAAAGGCAGGAAGAAGACTAATTGCTGCTGAACAAACAGTTTGGGAAAGATGAGAAGAAATAGGGCACAGAGCTTCATCTCTCATATTGCTGACCCAGCTCTCTATCTTGTTATTCTTGAAACACATCCAAGGCTTTTTAATAAGCTTACTGAGGGCAGAGCTAAGGACTTCCGTTATGTATGTGTGATCAGAAGAGTCATACACTAGAGGAGAGAAATTGCCTGCTTTGATTAGAAGGTGGGAAGAAAGCCCTTAGACTGGGAGCTGGCACCCATCCCTGCCCTGTTTTATAGGTGTCACGCCAACAGCCCCCACTGCCTGTATCTTACTGCCCTGTTTTGTTCTCTTCCACCAGCTGATCTACATGATGGCTACTACATATAACTATGCGGTTTTGAAGTTTAAGAGTCGGGAAGACTGCTGCACTAAGTTCTAAATTGCATTAAGGCCAATAAGGAGCTTTAGAGAGCTAAGCTCTGTAACGTGAACATCACTGACCCTCCAGACTAAAGTGAAGTCTAGGTTTCTGCAGTTTTGCTACAGTAATTTGTAAATAGCTTCAGTTAACTCATTTTGCATGGTAGACTAAATAATAGGACTTACTGTACGTGAATTATAAAAGAATGGGGTCTGGCTATTCCCACAGTTTGAAAAGGATTGTTATTTACTGACACTGGTGAGCATCCTTTGATAATATAATTTTCTTGAACTTAAAACTTTGAACAGTATCTCTAAATGAAGTATTAACACTTTGACATACCTGCATTTTCCGTTAATTTTGCTTGCTTGGTAACCAGCCTTAGTGATGGAAAAGAGAACAAGTGCTGAAGATAGAAAAGTTACAACCTAGATTTCATTTTGTCACACTTTTTTAGAAAATATTTTGCAAGTATATTTTAAATTCAATTTAAAAGGTTTTTATATCACATGGTTGGTTCATCACCAAATAAATGTCCTTACAAGTAGACCAGATAAAAAATTGAAGAATGTCACCATTTAATTTTTCTGAAAAAAAAAAATTACATCTTTTTGACATAACAGTCTTTAGAACCCACAAAACTGGTAACTTTAAATTGTCTTGCTGCATAGAAATTGTTTCCTCATAATTAGGTTCTTGAATTATATGTAAGATTTTAATGGGAAGAGAAGTTGGGCCCAGATCTGAAGGTCTCATATAAGTCAGGAATGAAGTATGGTATGAGAAGGAAGTATGGCGTTTAAGGAAACTGAGTTGTATAGATTTATGTTTCAGGCAATAGGAAAATACACGGAAAGGATGTGTGTGCCACATAAACTGTAAAGAATGACAAGGATTTTTATGTGAAATGAACTTAAGCGAAATGAAATAATGGCAGTTATAAAAGAAAGAATATAGTTTTCAGTGCTAAAAAATGTTACCACAGACTGCATACTTAGTTTTCAATTTTGGTTTTGGTATTCATTTAATTTCTCCATATTAAATATATAATTCTATAATTATTTACTCAAAAATTAAAAAAAAATCATACTCATAGGCCTTTGGGGGAATTTTTTTTTTACCCACAGATAAGTCTTTGCTCTACATTTTTAAACAGAAAAGGCAACGTGTTTCTGAACTTCTGCATTTATCTTTAAAATTACTCTCAAAATGATAAAAAAAAAAGCTCTGTCATATATTTCATTTTTACTTCTTTTTAACAATAACTTTGGCCACTTTATTCCCAAGTTCACTATATTTGCATACTAACTTTTCTTCAGCCTCTTAATATGAAGCAAACTAGTAGAGCATGCTCCGTGTCTGACAGCTCTGCTAGCAGAATATTAATAGCGAATAACTCTTGTCCCTCTCCAGCTGATCCCATCTAATCTGACTAGCAGCTCGCTTTGCCTTCTCACATGCTCACTAGCCATCATGCTCACCCTTCTTTTCCAGATCCACTTCCTCATGATACTGTCTTCTAACTGGGCTTACTTAAAGGATGCGAGCAAAATGCAGGCTTACCAGGATATCAAAGCAAAGGAAGAACAGGAACTGCAAGATATCCAGTCTCGGTCAAAAGAACAACTCAATTCTTACACTTAAAAGTGTTTGCCAGAGTGTGTCAGCCGACGAATTTACAGCTCTGACACATCATCAGACAGCTGCTCTGCAGTACAGATGTGTATCCCACCAAACAAACTAATGTAGACGTACCAACATTTCACCGTCTGTCTCAAGCTGCTGGAGTGGATCTCTAGGAAAACCTTCCAGCGGGTAAATCATTTTCTTTAGAACAAGTATCAGAGGTTTCATGTTAGCCATTTTAAAAGGCAACACTTTGACAGAATGGCCATTCATCTTTTGGAGAGTCGTGGCATGTGTGCTTAACTGCTAGAGCAGTTCTAACACATAATTACATCATGCTCTTTCATAGGAGCATGCCAGTATCAAAGGACATGACCCTAGATTTTCATATGCCACCTGTCCTCAAGTATGATCAAAATGCAATTGGTGTGAAGTTCATTTCTGATGACCTATATAACCTTGGGCTCATCAATGATAATGTGATTAATTCAAACTTTTAACAATTAGCACCCCTAAGGTCTCAGGCATTTATTTACCAGGCCATTCAGAAATCTTTTAGTAATGCTAAATCAAGCTGCAATTATGCTAAATTTATCAGTGCAGAAGCTGGATTCTGACTGGAGCTCTGCAAAATCAGCTTTGTAGTAGATCTCTTCATAACAAAATGAGAGTGATGATTTGATGATCACAATTCTTGTTTGGAAACAAATGTCAGCTCTGCCTTAATATTTGTTTTCAATTTCTAAGAATTTATATTGTAACCAGAAACCCAAAATTCCTTCATACTTTTGTTTCACGAATATTTTTCTTAATTAAGAAGTGTTACCTTGTTAAAATGACCACCATTCTAAACCATTTTTAAGTGGTCCAGATAGTGAGTTTACAGTTTCATATCAACTATCTAAAACCTAACTGCAAATTGACCACAGACCTCTGACCTCCTACTTTTATAGACTTTAATACATAAGTAATTTAAGTTAGGGTTGGTATTTATTTCATTGTTTTCTTATCTAAATCTTAATTTCCTGGAATAATGTTTGATATTCAGCAAGAAAACTGCTTGAGTTTAAGCCATTTTCAAGAGAAATTTGCCTTCTGACTCATTGTGTTCCAGAACATTAAGTGACTAATAGGTACTGGGTATTAGTGATGGTAAGTTTTGTGTTGTTCATTATGGAATGATCCATATAACTGTGGGGTGCATCAGTGCTTTTCAAAGGGGCTGCATACTATAGGGTTAACTATGTATATTCATGTTAAGAGTTAACTTGTGGTTTGGCTTTTTCCTGGATTTTAAAACATATACATGTGCAGAACTGTATTCAAATGAAAGGAAGCATACCTTTATCAAGATGCTATTAAAATCAAACATCAACTATCGTATTTCATTTGGATTTTTTCTTCTGGTTAATGCTTAAAACGCCTATTTGGATTCTTTTTGATTGGGAGACGCTCTCTTCTGTGTATAACAGTTATTCCAAGATAGCTTAGTGTTTTGTTTTCCTATTGCATGACAGAATTCAATATTTTTTCCAGCAGTGGAGGTGCTGTTAGAGTCCAGTGTACTAGAAGAGGCAGTGTCTAAAGCCTAATTTTACTTTTCTAATTCTGGTAGCTATTACCAGGAATTTTTGAAAGTTTTGTTGAAGTAGTCTAATATTTTTTATGTAAAGAGCATTAAATTTTGCTATGTATAAATTTTTGTAACCTAACAGTGAATCAATATTTTCTATCAGTGCCAAGGGCTTCCTGTAGTTCTATTCAAGTGTTACAATAAATATTTGTAGATAATAGTCAATACTTGTGTATGCTTATTTTAAAGATATATTTAGGTGGAAATAGTTGTGGATGTACTAAAGAGTAATGAAATAAAATTATAGCTTCATTCGCTTGCCTTTTTACCATACATAAATCCTATCTTTCTCTGTTCAGAGTATGGTGTCATTTTTGAATAATATACACCAAGATTTCACATTGATAGAGAAATGTGGACCATGGGAGGACACTACTTTTATTTTTGCATGTGCACACCCACAACGCCCCCTACTGGTTTTATTTTGCACATACACCCACAAAAAATGTTTTTAGCAAGAAAAATTTAAGAAAATACTGTAATCTACCATGCTGTATTTGTATGAAATGCTGTTAGTACTAAAGAGTCTGTGAAAAGAACAGTATTTCCAATACTGTAGTTTCTCCAATAGAACACCATCTATCAGATTAACACAGAGCTTAGTCTTGGGCTAAACAGAATAAGGAACTTTAATAAGGGTCTGTTTGTTGTTGACTCATTTTCAAATCCAAAGTCTATGGCAAAAGGTCTATTTGGGAATATAATGAAATCTAATTCTGTTATTCTCTGAAGCAGTAGAACACAATTTGTTACTTGGGATCTCATTCTGTGACTTGAAACATTACTGCCAGTATGATTATACATTTGGATTGTCTACACCTGACCTTTCTTACTGATGCCCAGCCCTTTGGTATTATGGACACAGTAACATCTCTAAATGATGTGTTGAATCTGGAGCACTACACTTCATTTACATACTGCAGCAGAACAAGCAGGAGCCCAATATAAATGACATTTATCTCACTTAATACCTTCTGCTTAGGTTGCATTTTGTGTCATTGGATAAGCCACAGGGACCTCTTGAATAAATTCTAGGGGTTTAACAAAATCACAAGTAATCTTGACTGTCAAGTCTTAACTGACCACCAATAATTAAGCCATCTAACAGCAACCTCCAGAAGGCACAGGTTTTTCCAATTACCTCTTGTAAAATGTTTTAGAAGAGGAAAATGAGCCAGGTGGTGGTGATGCATATCATTAGTCCCAGCACTCGGGAGATAGAAGCAGAAGATCTGAGTTTGAGGCCAGCCTGGTCTACAAAGTGAGTTCCAAGACAACCAGGGCTACTAGACAGAGAAACCCTGTCTTGAGAGGAAAAAAGGTTGTCGTCAAAGTTATAGGAGAAACCTGCATACTTAAAAAAAAATCAACAAGTCCATCCATTATAAATAAGGATCAAGGATTCTACAGTAAAGATGTTGACTTACTCCTGGTACCAAAAAATCTTAGACATTGTAGCTTATAAAGAAGTTTGGGGGGCTTTGTTTGTTTTTTATAGTTCTAGAGACTGAGAAGTTCAGTAACAACAGGCTGGCAAGTTCAGTGACTGGTGAGGGTCAGCCCTTGCCTTGTACTTGTACAGTGGTCAAGTTCTTAGTACTTCTAAAAGGGATGACTACTGTCTCTCCAAAAGGCGAGAGGCAAATAAGGTCACTCGTTCTATTCAGGAGGGTCTGCTTTCATGCTTTAATCACCTGCTAGAGGCCCACCTCCTAATACCATCACAGTAGGGTTTCAACATATGAGTATGAGTATTGGAGGACCTACACATTTAACCATTGCAGATGGCAAAATATTACAAACATTACAACAACAAAATCTATGTTCATGTCTAGGGAGAAAACTGTACTGGGAGGATGGTTCTACACATCATAGGGCAAGTGTGGAGCAGGAGGTACACAGCTTAAACTTAGCAAATGTAGGCCTGGAGCCTGATAAGATAAAGTTTTCAAATAGGTGTATCTATTTGACAAAACCAGAGAGGGGATTGTTATTTTGCTGTAGTGAATAAATTTCACTGTTAAAGATAAGGTTACAGAGAACTTCTGTGGTGACGCATGCCTTAAAAGGAACAGGCAAATCTGTATGAGCTCAAGGCCAGCCAGAGCTACAAGAGAGATCCTGTCTCAAAAAATAAAAGGGGTGGAGGAAGGATTCAACTGTTAACTGTTGTTTCATATATTATGGTATCAAAATAAAACCATGTTTAAAAAAACACTACACACCACGTTTTTATTGACAATTTTAATTCCAGAAAAATAAGAATTCATATTATACAACTTCTTGTGAGAAGCTAGACAGCTAATGTGATTACCAGACATCATCTGTTTCTTCACGAGAAAAGCCTGGAGAACTAAAGAGAAAAAAATTAGATATTTAGCAAATTCATGCCAATGTCTAGATGTTCATAATATTCCTATTCCTTTTATGTAGGGTTTCTGCCTATAGTATAGTTAGTATTGGGGCAATTTCAGAAGTCAAATCACAATGGACTTTTTTAAAGCCAGTGCGTTTTCTTTATTGCTTTGTGTTTTGTTTGTTTTTTTACTGAAGTGTCTCCTGTGTCTATGGCTGGGCCCAAACTATGTAAGCAAAACTGACTTTAAATTCTATCCCTCCTGCTTCCACCTGAGTGGAATTATAAGCATGCAGCTCCATGCTGTTTATGAGGAGTTGGGGATTGAACCCAGGGATTTCCACCTGGGTTCCACACTCTACTAACTGAACTAAATTCCCATCCCTTTTAAATTCATTTGAGTCTCACTATGTAGCCCAAGCTAGCATCAAACTCTTGACCTTCCTGCCTCAGGCTCCTGAGTGCTAGAATTACCAGCCTATACCACTATGCCCAACTTTCAGAAGTCAGTAACTTTTACTGATTCAGTAATTCTTTAAGGCAAACCCAACTATCTGATCATTTTTAACTGACAAAATGAGCAATAATGATCTGCTTGAGGGACACGTTTGAAGGAAACCATACCTTTCATCTTTGTCACTAGGTGCTATCGTGTCCACTAGTGAAAATTCTCTTTCTGATTTTTTTGAGCTCTGACAAAGGATGGAAAAAGAAGAATTTTGAAGAGTTAATAATTTCATGAAACAGAAGCTTTTATACTTGATCTTAGCAGGAAGGCCAAGAATCAGTCCACTGATTTCTCTAATAATTATTTTGGAAACATATATAAGATCCTAATAAAAAGCCTCTTTAAAATTCAGCAAGCATATCAAAAAAATCCATAGCATGCATTTTCAATATTCATAATTCAGACAGAAAAATGATTCACAATCTATAACTCAATGATAAAGAACTACTGCTTGTTTTCAAATAAGACATCCCATCTGGTAAAAAATGACAAATCAGAGTCTCTTGAATGTTTTACCTAAACTAAGGCTGAAATTTTGTCAACAGTGTATATATTTTAAAGAATCCTGGCTCTATTTCAAGTATTCACCTTCTAGTCTTTAACCTTTTTGTCTCTAATAGAAAACACACTTCCCAAGGTATTGGAATAAGTCTCCCAGTGACCTCCCTCTCCTCTACCCCAGATTGCTATCCATAACACAAGTACCTTATCTGCACTTGAGTGTTCCTGTCTCTGCTGGATGATTTTCATGTATTTCTCTAAAGGATTTTCACCACAAGCTGATTTGTCTTTCTGTTCTTGAACACTCTTTTCTAATTCTTCTTCCATCTCAATCTTCAGTGATTCTTCAATAATCCTCTATAAACAGACCAGTGCCAAAATAGAAAATACATGAACATGTTTTAAAAGCTTCTCAGTCTTTAAAAATCATACTAATTTGATCCTTACACTGGAAGCACAAATTGCATACCAGAGAAATGTGTGTTTAAATTGAAGTCATTGCTACTATCAGACAGACAAACATGTCATTTCAAGGAAGAAAGTGATTAACCAGGAGGCCAAAAACACATTTCTAAGTCATATTATTTGGCCAGAGTAACACATCTGCCTAGCACTACAATCAGAACAAGACAGGCCAAAAGGAAGGTAGACAAAGAAGATCTGTGTGCCTAAAAGATGTGTGGAGTGACTAGATGTGCCTCCCTGCCCTCGCTCTTCCAGCTGCCTGGCTCTGCTGGAGTGGATGTCAGAGAGAAGTAACATAACATACATGGAAAGTCTTATCAAAACCAAGATGCTCAGAAGGCAAGCAAAACAGGAGAGGAGAAAGAATGCCTTTGAGGTTACCTGCTCCTTCTCTGGGCTCACAGCACTACTGGCAAACATGCTTGAGCTCAAGGTACCTGCTGAAAGTGTCCACGGGAGAAACTTATACGGAGATATAAGTGACACATTACCCTCTCCTGTTCCAGCTTTTCCAGCTCTCTTCTTTCCCTCTCTAGAGACTCTTGCTGTTCATTCTGCCTTTGTTCTTCCCTCTGCCTCCGTTCTTTCAGGTGGAGTTCCCATAGCTGCTGTTCTTTTTGTTCTCCAGTTTGGCTCTGATCAGCACCTAATAGGACAGAAAATAGAGTGAGTAGCTGCCAACATCAGATTTTTCAAATCTAGTCTTCTGCAGGCTTGCTTGATTTTCCACTGATTCTGATAACCTGCTATAAGCTGTTCCTCTATTTTTATTGTCTTCCAGCCCACAGACTCACCCCTAGCAATATACCTACACTTTTATTTTCCTGAGATGGATATAAGCCACTATATCACGAATAACACCAACTGTCTTCCCTTTATGCCATATTGTCTTCACCCTTTTTTTCTCTCCCTGCTTCAGCCTCTCCATAGCAAATCCTGCATTGCAAATTCTTCACATTTGTATAATTCTTCCCCTATCTTCAGAACCATTACTCTTAAAAAGGGCTTACAAAACAATTTTACCCTACTTTAAAAAAGATGCTCAAATCATTCCTACCCACAAGCAGAACAGAGCTCCCTCCTTCCCTTCATCCTCTTGTCACTACTCTAGCTATACCAGTATTTAGGTGCCTCTGTATTAATGCTGGGTCTTTCTAGCGACCATCTTTTTTCCCCCATTTTTATTTTATGTGTACAGGTGTTTTCCCTGCCTGTTTATCTGTGTACGATATATATGCAATGCCAGAGAAGGCCAAAAAGAGGGCATCAGATCCTTAGGACTGGAGCTACAGACAATTGTGATGGGAACCATGATGGGTGATGGGAAATGAACCTGGATCTTCTAGAAGAACAGTCAGTGCTCTTAAACACTGAGCCAGCTCTCCAGACCATAGGGATCATCTTGAACTCTAATCATTTCCATGTCTTTCTTCATTTCCATTCTCCTCAGCCTCACAACCATGTCTTTAATGGGCTTTCTGTCACAGGCATGGAAAAGTCCCACAATGCTAGCCTCCTCCCAAAGTTATATTGGTTCTTTATCTTTGTCTAGGTAGGCCGTGGACATACACAAATATAGTGATATCAACTCAAAAAGCTGTGTCAACAAATTCAAGGGCACCCCAGGCAACACAGTTTATCCCATATCCACTGAGCCACTAAGCTTGTGTGCTTATACAATTCCTCTGTGAGGGTCTCCTTGCCCTCCAAGTGCTGCAAAGACATACCAGCACATTACTTGCCAGTATGTTATACCTTCTTTCTAAAAAAATCATGTGTGCTTATTTCTATTTCTTTGTAGCAAGACCCACCTTTTAATTACTTGTCTATTCTCTTTCATTCTTGGCACAGGCCCCTACCCTTCAAAGGTTTACTTAAGTGTCTGTTTCACAGATGATGATGTTGGGCATTCTTTCAGTTCTGGCCCATGACCTACATTTTTTCACTCAAACAATGCTAATAACCAGCAGTGTCACAGGCTCACCAGAGGACTTCAGGCTCTTGTGTTGTGCTTTGTCCCAGATGCATAGTGGGAATAGAGTCAGCCTTACTGAAAGAGAATGACTACACAGATCTCTGTCTGTTTATCTGTCTGTCTGTCTATCCATCTATGTTTGTCATAAAATTAAAATAAAAGAGGCTCATGCTTACTTCCATACCCCCCCTTTCCCTCCTTGCCAGTGGAAGACAGGTTACTTCAAATGGTTCTATGTTCCCACAGGGAGTAGCAATAACAAAATAAAGACTTTTGATGAGATAAAGGAAAAGAAAGAAAGAAAAGAAAGAAAAAAGGGAGGAGGAAGAGGAGGAGGAAAGAAAAAAAAGAGGAAACAGAGCAGGATGAGAAGGGGGAGGAGGAGACAGGAAGTAGCATCATTATATAGACACTTCCTGGACACCAAATCCAAGACCAGAAGCACATACAAATACCACATTTTTACACCTTTTTTATGTCTAGATGAAGAGGCAGGGATGAATATATGAAAATTTCCTAAGTGACTAAAACAACCATCTGCTTACTAATTATTTCAAATGCCATGAATGTAGTCTCCTACCTCAAGGCAGAACATCTAGCTACTCACTGATTTCCTTTAGCTATTATTTTGGCTACTTCCCTCAGGTCTGTGAACATGGCTGCTATATACCTTCATTGCCCCACTCCCTTATCCCAGACTCTCCACGAAGATAGGAGCTTGGTTTGACTCACTGATTTCAGCCAGTCCCTAGGCAAGTACCCAACAGAGAGAAGGTGCTTGCTTTGGTCTTCCAAATGAATTGTTAAATGAATTGTCTTCCAAAGCACACTTACTCAGGAGTAAGTATAATAAAAATCTCTTGGTCCTTTCAGTAATTACTCATCTTCCTGAGTACTGTGGCTTTAAGCAAGAAATTTCTATGGAGAGGCTTTGAGTATGTTGTGTGTGGGGTGATGATGGCATTCCTGTTTGGTCAGCACTAAGAGGCAGCTTTAAATAAGACTTGAAAGAAAGCCTTTCAAGTTTGAGGCTGAGAAGAAAAGGACCTGGCTGTTGACTGGGCTGGAACAAAGCACAAAGCTCCTCTCAGTTCTGCTCTCTTCTTCCTCTAACACCTGAAGGAAAAGTAGATGAGCTGAAGAAGAGAAACAAGCATGGACCAGGCAAAAGTCTGATGACCACTTTCTTCAAGTGACAATGTAATAATATCAACTTTTATGAAGAAGGAAATACAAAATTTTTCTATCCTAATTTATGACATAAATGAAGCAATTAAAACAATAAATACTAAATTGTTACAATATTAAAGATATACGATGGGCTTAACCATACTTCTAGTATTTACTACAATTTTTAAAGATGATATAAGTTCCTTATGGAACAGTTTTTGCAGAAGAGAAGTGTAGTTGCTCTGTCTGGCTGTGACCAAATCAACATTTTAAAAAAGACTATTGAGAAGTTTTCCTCCGAGAGGTTTTCCTTAGCAGTTTGCACATATTCACACAGGGAGAACTCCTTCAGTATACCATTTAGAATGATAATACCAGGCTAGAAAGATGGCTCAGAAGTTAAGAGCACTGACTGTTCTTCCAAAGGTCCTGAGTTCAATTCCCAGCCACCACATGGTAGTTTATAACCATCTATAATGAGATCATGTGTCCTCTTCTGAGTTCAATTCCTAGGAATCACATGGTGGCTCATAACCATCTATAATGAGATCTTGTACCTTCTTCTGGCCTGCAGACACACATGCAGTACAGAATACTGCATAAATAATAAATCTTTAGAAGGAGGTAGGAGGCTGGAGAGATGGCTCAGAGGTTAAGAGCAGCCAGTGCTCTTCCAGATGTCCTGAGTTCAGTTCCCAGCAACCGAAAGGTGGCTCAGAACATTTAATGGGATCTGGTGCCCTCTTCTGGCATGCAGGTGTACATGAAGGCAGAACACTGTATACATAATAAATAAATGAACCTTAAGAAAAAAAATGATCTATCACACACAAAGCCTCAGAATATGCTTATAAATGTTGTACAGAGCCAGAGAGATGGCTCAACAGGTAAAGGCACTTGCTACAAACCCGAGCTTGATCCATGAGAACTTACTTCCACAAGTTCTTTACTTCCACAAAACAAACAAACAAAAAACAGACAAGCAAAGAAACAACTTATGTTGGGCCTGGAGAGATGACTCAGGGGTTAAATGTGGTTGCTACTCTTCCAGAGGACTAGCATTTGGTTCCCAGAACCCATCACCAGACAGCTCACAACTGCCTATAGCTCTTGTTCCAAAGAATCCAATGCCCTCGTCTGGCGTCCCCAAGGTACTTGCATACTCATGCACATACACAGACACATACCAAAAAAACTTCAAATAATAAACAAATGTAGTAATAGAAGTGATCTGGGAAATATGTTACAACACAGAGATCAACACATAATACGTGTCTATTGTTCACTGCTGGTTTAAGAAAAGAACCACTTACTTGGGTAGTCACATGAAATGGGTCTGGAAGACAAAGTAGCTGCAACAACATCTACGGCACACATGTCACCAGCAGGGTGGGTTGCTTCTGCTTCAAACTGTTCTGGCTTGTTCCCTGTGTCCACATAAGGTGCAATTAATTGTTCCATGAGTCCTTAATAACAGTAGCACGTGAATGGAGCGCTATGCAGCACAGAGGTCAGGGAGTGGTTGGGAGCTGGAGAGTAGTGGGGGACAGATCTAATCATGGACTATCAAAACTGAACTAAAAGCAACTGGTGGTATTTCCTACAGGGTTCTAAGTCCAACCATTTAAAAAATGCTCAGCTCTCAAATTTCTTTGTTTTAAAGAATCAATTTGCTTACAAAACTGTATTCATTACTCAGTAGGAAAATCAATCCAGTAACAGAATCCATTTGGTTTGCTAATAAAAATATTTGAATTCAATCTAAATGTCAATAACTGAAAGAGGGGCTCATGAAGCCCCACCACTTAACTGAGGACCTTTGGTAGCTGAACCTACTGCTGTCAGGAGAATCAGGATTTTTTTTTTTTAAAGGAGGAAGCTCCTGCTGGGTTACCCCTGCTCTAGTGGATGATCATATAGCCATGCACATATGAATGTCCATACTCAGTGGGTTATGAAGTTGGGAGGGGGACATGGCAGGGAGAGTCAGAAAGGAGTTTGAGGGGGAGTAGGCAGTGGTTATGATCAAAATACATTGTATGAAATGTATTTTGAAGAAAGAAAAGAAACTAATGATTTAAGAAAGTCATATTAACTGTTAAGTTAAAAAAAATTTTTCACAATATTTACTAAGCCTTCTCATTTAACTATGCAAAATATGATTCTTTCAGATTTGATAATATAAGTTTACAAGTCCAAATGATAGGTTATATACAATTGTAAAGAATTCTCAAGCTAAAAAGAGTCTCAGAGGTAAATGAACCCTATATCCTTATTATACTTATAAAGCAAGATAATACAGTCCAAGGCAATACTATAGCCAGGATACCACTTTCTTGATTCTCATCTTTTTTCTTTTTTTGAGACATGGTTTCTCTGTGTAGCCTTGGCTGTCCTGGACTCAATTTGTGAGCAGGCTGGCCTAGAGCTCACAGCAATCCGACTGCGTTCAGTACTGGAATTAAAGGTGGGTGCCAGGTGGAGGCCAGGTCAATGCTCAGTGTCTTCCTCAGCTAATTTCCACCTTTTTTTTTTTTTTTTTTTTAACAGAGTCTATAACTCAATCTGAAAGTGCACTGAGTTGGCTAGGCTGGCTGACCAGTGAGTTCCCAAGCAACTTTCTGCCTCCACCTCCCAAGTGCACCATTCACCCAGCTTTTTTTTTAAATGGGGGTTCACTTTATAGATTGGGTCATCATCTCAGCCCATCATTTGACTATTCTTTCATCTCCATTCTATCAGTGAAAATAAAACTTGCTAAGTCTAAAGAATTAACAGGAACAATATAACTCAAAGAAATTATCTTCATATTTCAAAGAAAGGAAAAAGAGTGAATGATGAAAAACTTTTTAAAATTGAAGAAACCCCAACCTTGAAATATTAAAGATTCACTTTATGGCCTTAGCTTTAACTTGGAAACTGTGAGCTATACCATTTTTTTTTCAAAGAAAATGCAAATGCAACCTAATTTTTTGTGACAGAGAAACGAAGCAAGACTGGCAAGATGGCTCAGCAAGTAGAAGTTCCTCCCACTAAGTTTGACTACCTGAGAAGGTGAAACAAGAGAACTGAGTCATGAAAGTTGTTTTCTGATCTCCACATGTGCTATGGTACAGATACACATACATATATGTGCGCACACACACAATATTTTTTTCCCCGAGGCAGGGTTTCTCTGTGTAGCCTTGGCTGTTCTGGACTTGCTTTGTAGACAAGGGCTAGCCTTGAACTTACAACTATCCGTCTGCCACTGGCTCCCTGAGTGCTGAGATCAAAGGTGTGTACCACCATACCTGGCTATAATACATTATTTTAAAAAGAAAAATAAAGCGATGTATCTGTACCATATCACAAAACAGAACTGTCCCAAAATACAACTCTTGCTAAAAGAAAGCTTTCCTACATTTTTTGCTTCTAAAAACTGATGTGTGTGTGTGTTAAGGTTGGAGTGGCGGCATGAAGAGATGGCTCATCAGTAAGAAGAGCACTGGCTGCTCTCAAGGAGGGCCTAAGTTCAATTCCCAGCCCCCAGCACTCTCATGGCAGCTAACCATCTGTAATTCCAGTTCCATGGAATCTAAAACACCCTCTTCTGGCCACAATGGGCACAAGGTACACAGATATACAGGCAAGCAAAACACCTCAACATATAAAAATAAATTTTTAAAAATTGCTATATGGCTAGGGAGATTGGCTCCATGAGTAAAGTGCTTGCTTTGCAAGAGGAAGCACCTGAGTTAGAATCCCCAGAATCCACGTAAACAGGGTCGTGATATTGAGTGTCTGTAATCCCAGCATGACTGAAGTGTGATAGAAGGCCAAGACGAAAAAAGTCTCTACCCTGCCTTAAATACGGCAGAAGTTGAGATATGACATTGTAAATTGTCCTCTGACGTCCACACAGGTGCCAAGGCACCTATATATACACACAAAACCTAATATTCAAAACTTACATCTGAAAGATGGTTTATACTCCTCCTTATCTTTCAAAGATTGCTTGTCCACATTTGAAAGTTTACTTTTGTCTTGAGTTTCAGTTTGTCTCTGATAAAAGCTGGATTGTAAGAAGAAAATACATGAATATAATGGTTTAGTAACATAAAAAGCCAAAAGAATAGGTGACACAAGTTTTCTGGTTGCTAAAAATAATTAACAAAACCTTTTGCTTGGTTTGTTTCTTTTACTTATTTGAAGACAGGTTCTCTGTGGTTGGCCTAGAATTATGTAGCCCAGACTGACATAAACTCCTGGGAATTCTCCTATCTCAGCTTCCTGAATGTAGGAATTATAGGCATTAGCAGGCATGGTTGGCTCTGATACTCATTTTTCATTGGCTTGTAAAAAATTACTCTAGGTGCTACAGAGATGGCTTACTGGTTAAGAACACTAGCTGTTCTTCCAGAGGACATGGGTGCAATTCCCAGCACCCACATGGCTTCTCATAACAGCATGTAACTCCAGTTCCAGGGGATCTGACACCTCCTTCCAGGCTCTGTAGGCACTAGGCACATGTGTGGTACACAGACATACATGGAGGCAAAACACCCATACACATTAAAAAACAAAACAACAACAACAACAACAACAAAAACAAAACAAACAAAAAAAAAACACTTGCCCAAGCATGCATGAGAATTTACTTTCTATTTCAATACATTTTAAAAGAGAAGAAAGATGAAAAGAAAAGTGTTTGTGGTGGCAGAGAGAATGGCTCCAGAAGACTGAGCCTGCCACCAGGCATTGTTCTTGGCAACTAATTAATATTTACTCAGCCACCTCCCTTGTTACCACCCCATGCCCCTAAGTAATTATTGCTGCAATTAACAAAGAATAGTGTACTCTCAATACTATTCCTAGGGTAGTTTTCCAGTAACCACTTATCATTTTCTCCTAACACAAATTCCATATGCCATCAGCATATACCAGCTGAAGATGCAACTCTATAAGCCAAACTATGTGTCAAGGTGTGCTGACACTACATACTATGAGTTTTGATGTTCTTTTTTGTTTTCATGAGAAAATTCAATACAAGCTAGGCATGGGGACTCATGCCCATTGTTGCCTCAGGGTTCAAGAAGCAGTCAAGCAGAGGACCACAACAAGTTTGAAGTGAGCCTGAGGAACATAGCAAATGAGCCTATGTGAAAAATTAAATCAAGTGCAATATATATATATATATATATATATATATATATATATATATATATATATATATATATATATGCCCTAGAAACATGGTAGACACACATAGCAGTTTTCACGTATTAACAGGTAGCACTCATAAACATTAGGTGCCCAACTGGAGCCCACAAGTAGGGATTCAGAATATCCTGTTGTGGTCTTGCCTGTGAATCACTGCCCAGGTGACCTAATGGCCTAGTCTTACATCTTCCTATTTTCACAGAAACCTTGCTTATTATTTAAGTGCCAAAACTTTTTGTTGTTTGTGTGCTTGTTTTTGAGACAGGATCTGTGTATATAGCCCTGGCTGTCCTGGAACTCATTGTATAGACCCGGCTGGCCTTAAACTCAGAGATCAATCTGCCTCTGCCTCCTGAGTGCTGGGACTAAAAATGTGTGCCACTACCACCTGGCCCTCAAAGCATATTTTTCAATGCCATTTTGATGTGTAAAATTTCTCCAGCTTTCAAAATGAGCCCAATGTATTTTGTCTGACAAAGTTTAAATATATTTGTCTGTCTTTATGAACCAAATCCATTAACAGACCCACAAAGATGTTAATCTACACAATTATCATACACTCTCCCTTAAAATTCAAATGACTTTCAAAGATCACAGATGACTTTACAATACAACTGTAAATTCCAATTTGCCACATGATCTTTAACATTGCCTTTAAAAAAAGCAAAAGGAGTAAAGGTCAAACAAAACAGCAGGTCAGTAGCATGATTCAACAGAAGCTGATGAAAAAAATAACTTACCAGGTATTTTGCTCTGGAACACTGGAGAAAGGACCAGAGAAACTGTGCCTAAATGGAACTTGTGGCAGCTGGGCTGTTGTTCTCTCAGGACAAGGACTAGAGGAAGCAGTACGTGACCCAGCTACTCTCTCAAGACAAGGGCTGCTGCAAGCAACGTGTAATCTACCCAAACCTAAGAAGTATGAAGAATGAGGGCAAGGATATTACAAACAAATGGAGAGGATATCAAAGAGGTTTTTTAAAAAGCTCTCTTAATTTGAAAATGAATCCTATGGCATGCTTGCAAATAGCCAGGCTTGATGTATGAGATCTACAAACACAGTGATTCAAACACCAAAATCAAACTGCAGAAGTAACATGGAATATACAAATCTAAGCAGCAGCAAGACAAAGGCCATGTTGCTCTTTTAACGCTTCTGTGTGCTAAGGGAACTCTAGACCTTAATACCCTTTATGCTGCAGACTCCCACAGCAACCCTGTGATATGGGAGGGCTACCACTGTTGACCAGGGTATGGAAGGATGAGAACAGCTACCACAGCTAAAGCAGGCTCCCTGAGGCTGACTACTGAGTATTCTGTCCAAAACTAAAATATCTATGTCACAACCCTCTGGACAATGGCTTACCTTCCAGATGCATTTCATTCTCAAGACTTCTTCTCAGTTTTGGATGGGGTGTAGAGGACAGGCGTGTGGAGGAAGAGGTCCTGCGTGGCCATGAAACCACACTGTCCATGAACGCTCTGGACACATCACTCTTATCTTCCTTCACCATGTCCACAAGAGGCTGTTCAGAGACAATTCTGTCCTCTGCAGGAACATGTCTATCCATGGAAGTGGAAGCTCTGGTCCTGTGAACTCCTAGTGATGAAGGACTCCTTGCTGGCTGAGGATTCATAGAAGGATTCCTAGTAACTCTTCGATGGTAACTTCTAAATGCCTTTTCCAAGCGTTCAGCCTCTTGCTCTAGCTCTCTTACTTTGGCTTTAGTACTACTAGCTACAAATTCAAGGTCAGAGTCTGGGGAACTAGCCTCCGTTGCTGCATTTGCATAGGATGGGACCCTTGACATAACTGCATCTGCTCTAACCTTGTTTTGTTCAAGGGGCACATTCAACAATTTCCTACTTGTATCCCCACTGTGGGGCGCCATCTTGCCACTCACTAGGCCACTCAGGGAATGAAGGGTCAGAGACGGCTTTGGATTTCGGAATACTTCATTCTCTAGGGCTGTAGGTCACAAAAAGAAAATTTGAGAAATAAAGAGAAAAAGCTGTGAATAAAATTAAATTATACTTAAGAATATTTTTTAAAGTAGTAAGAACAAGCTGACACATTAAACAGTGTCTGGAGCCATAGTGATAACCATTAACATTTACTGAAAGCTAACTTCATGTAACAATCCCTTACAAACATGATAACTTCACAATCTGTTACACTTGAGTCTGTGATACCCATGTCTGAGATGTGAAAATATGTAACTTACTGGTTACAAAGTCTAGCCAGATCTGAACTGTAGCAAACCCGTTTAATAAATCTTTTTTTATTTATAAAAGAAATTTTTTTTTATAAAAGAAATTTTTTTATAAAAGAAATTTTATTTATAAAAGAAATTTTATAAAAATTTCTTTTTTTATATATTAGTTACAGTTTATTCACTTTGTATCCCAGCTGTAGGCCCCTCCTCATTCCCTCCCAATCCCACCCTCCCTCCCTCATCTCCTCCCTGTCCCTCTCTAAGTCCACTGATGGGGGAGGTCCTCCTCCCTTTCCATCTGATCCTAGCTTATCAGGTCTCTTCAGGACTGGCTGCAAGGCTGTGGCCTAGCAAGGCTGCTCCTCCCTTGGGGGGGAGGTCAAAGAGCCAGCCATTGAGTTCATGTCAGAGACAGTCCCTGTTCCCCTAACTAGGGAACCCACTCCGATACTGAGCTGCCATGGGCTACATCCGAGCAGGGGTTCTAGGTTATATCCATGTCTAGTCCTTGGTTGGAGAAACAGTCTCAGAAAAGACCCCTGTGCCCAGATATATTTGGTCCTTGTGGAGCCCTTGTCCTCTCCAGGTCATACTAACTCCACTTTCTTTCATATAATTCCCTGTACTATTCAAACACTTGACTGCATATAATGAGTGTCCCCACTAAGCCCAAGTGTCAAATAACCTGGCCAGGGAGTCTCACTGTTATCTTCTGGGAGAGGGGATGGGGTCTTTCAGAGGTGGAGGCCACATGGCAATTGCTAGGCAATTGCTAGAGCTGCCAAAATTTCCTAACATAAATTTCCTATCAGCCTCTTACCCTGCAACAGCTCCTTATGATGCTACAAAGACATGTGTACAGTGGGCTATGCCCATGAGTGTGGAGGACTTCAGGACAGCCCTAGCTTGGGGTAAAATCTCACGAACAACTGCTAGCATAAAATTAGAAACTTGAAGAGTTTAGAATGAGTAAAGCCCTAGAAATAAAACTAGTAGAGGTGGAAGGAGCAGGAGACTGAAAGAGAAGAGAACAAGCAGTAACTGAGGAAAACTCAAAGAAGGATGAGAAACAAGCTAAACTAATACACACTGGGCCCAAAGGCAAATGAAGCAAAAAAGCATTCCAGCTTTTCATCTCTTTTCATGAAGCAGGAGGAAGAGAGACATCCACAGTGAAAACAGTAATGAATCACTAGCAGTAACTCGTGTCCGAGTGGCTTCCATGTAACCTATATCTGTTTCATCTTTGCTCACTGTGGCCTAGTAGGCATCATTATCTTCATCATAAATGAACTTGAGGAAGTTCTAAAGTGTCATATCCAAAATCAAACCTCACCTGATGACCAAAACAAAAGCAGGTCTTCAATTCTGAAAGCAATGTTCTTTGCACCTAGCTATCCTGCTTCTCTTATGTATTTATATTGCGAAGGACTATATAGAAACATGAGGAAGCAACTTAGCCTTATCAGGGTCACACAAAAAATGAAAGCAAGCACTGAGTTGAGAAAGGAAGCAATAAGATATCCAGAAGGTACAAACACTTGAAACCAAATATTTTAGTTCAATCCCAGGGACCCATATTATGGAAGAAGAGAGCAGATTCCCTCTTGTAAGTCATACTTGAACCTAAATATGCACCCCCGACAACATACACACACAACAAATATCATAGGAAAAATAATTAAAAGACAAATTCAGGAACATTTGTGTCACACCCACACTTGTCTTGTTTAGAGTATCTATGACGGTAAGTAGCTGATGACTCAGTAGATATTATTCCTAAGAAAGAAAATTTCATTTATAGTATGGTTTGTCTTCCTGTAGCATCTCCCTAATACAATTACTACAGAGTGGTTAACAGATTACAATTATTGTATTTCCACAACTGCCTGAAACTTACACACACATACACACAAATTAAAATTGTCTCTTGAAGCCAGGGAAATGGCTCAGTGGTAAAAGTGATTGCTGTAAAAAACTGTTTTTGATCCCTGGAAACCATATTAAAAAAAAAAAAAAAAAGAACTGAATACCTACTGGTACAATAGTGGCAAGACTATGGGAGTAAGCAACTGTTCTTGTAATTGTATTTAAGGCCTTCTCTACTGGATAGAGTTCAAGCCTGCTACTGTAAACGTCAAAACCCATGAGTAGGAGGCTGGAGAAATGGCTCAGTAGTTAAGAACACTGGCTGCTCTTTCAGAGGACCCAAGTTCAGTTCCAAGTACGCACAACTTTTAACGTTTTATAACTCAAATTCTAGACAATCCGATGTCCTCGTGGCCTACAATAAGTACCAGGAATGCACATGGTGTATATAACACAAAAAAGGTAAAATGTTCCTATATATAAAAAATGAAAATAATACATTTTCGAAAAACAAAACATCAAAAAATTTATGAGTAGCCAGGATTTGTTGGCACATAGCCTTTAATCCCAGCATTCGAGAGGCAGAGGCAGGTGGATCTCTGTGAGTTTGAGACCGTCATGGTCTACAAAATAAGTCTAGGATAGCCAGGGTTATATAGAGAGAACCCTGTCTCAAACAAACCAAACAAACAAACACCAAAAAACAAAAAACATGGGCAGAGAAATCATAGGTACAAAGGAAAAATCTTATGATGTTGTTTGGCTAAATGGTTATCTAAATATAAACATAAAGTGGTTCTGCTCCCAACCTTGGTAGAGGAGTTTCTTAATGCAGTAGATAATAGTTAAATGCCGACACTTCTAAATTTTCAAAGTGCCAACGGTGGGGCATCTCTATCAACCCCTCCAAGAGGCCCAGGGAACATCAAGGAAGAGGGTTTGAAAAGCATGTAAGACCTAGCAAATGGGGACAAGTGCTGTAAAAGGTTGCTTTCTGGACATGACATAGCTGTTGTACCTGTGAACTCAGAGTAACTAAAGTTTATCTGCACAAGAATAAGCCAGTAAAAAAATTCCAGCACTGGGGGTCGTGGTTAGGGCACTCAGAGCTGATGGGCAATTGGCAGTTAATACATGCTGTGAGAAGATTGAAATTTGTTTTGGAGCAGTGGCATTGACAGGCTGCCCGAGGGAATGACCTCACAACCATGTACACATGAGCAACACAAACTTGACTCAGAGGGTTATATGGAAAATAGAGGATTGAAGCTGAAAGGATGTAATGATGAGAAGGAAAAGCTGGAAAGAGGCAGTAGGGCAGATATAATCAAGATGTACTCTTTTTATCCATGAAATATTCAAAGATTTAAATAAAGAAGCTGAGTGTAGTAGCAAATATCTGCATTCCTATGGCAAGATGGAGGAATGGCAGGACAATGGGCAGGTAGTTCACAGGTTAGCTAGCCTGGTGTAGGTAGTGGAGATACCAGAACAAAAGCTTTACTCCTCAGCAAGGTAGAAGCAGAGAACCAATTCTTTAAAAGGTCTATGACCCCCACCTGAGTGCCAGTGTTCTGGTAAGCTCTCTCTCTCTCTCTCTCTCTCTCTCTCTCTCTCTCTCTCACACACACACACACACACACACACACACACACACAATTAATAAACAGTTTATTTTTTAAAAGAAGTCTCCAACCTGTCTGAGTTTGTACTAGTTGTGACTTTAAATCAGCAACCTGAACAGTTAACCTTTTAACAGAAGTTTCATATTCTAATATCCGGGCCTTTAGCTGTGTAGAATGTTCAATCTGAAAAAGATCCAAAGAAGAAGAATTAGAGCTTGCTTCAAAAAGAAAATCTCTTTTATTTGGTATAAATTTATATTTGTATTTTTTTATTTTCTTTAATTTTTTTATTTTTTGATACAGGGTTTCTCTGTATATAGACCTGGCTGGCCTGGAACTCACTTTGTAGATTAGTCTGGCCTTGAACTCACAGAAATCTACCTGCTTCTGCCTCCCAGGTGCTGGAATTAAAGGTATGTACCACCATGCCCGACTATGCTTATATTCTTTTGTTTTTCCAATTCTAAAAAGCTTTTGCACCAACAATACATAGGATGACCTTTATTAAAACATCACCCAAACAAGTTTTTCGCCAAACAAGTTTTGATGTATTGAGACAGGGTCTTTCTATGAAGCTTTGGCTGTCCTAGAGTTCAGAGTTCTACCTGCCTCTGTCTCCTGAGTGCTGGGATTAAATGTGTGTGCAACCACTCACTCCTTCCCTTTTCACTTTAAGTCCCAAAACAGTTAACTCTACTACTGCTCGCAGGCAGAACTTACAGAGACACAGTGGATGTGTATAAGCCAAAAAACATAATTCATGATAGGAATTACCAGGTCCTCTGAGAAGTTTAGGTCTACATGAATTTGCTTTCCATTCAGTGCTATTATTATTAGGAATATAAACTCAGAATCATCAGAAGTTTTTCTCACATGAGAAAGGCCCCTTTGGGGGAGGAATTCTGTGTATGCAATTCAATCTGATTTTCACTGGTATGACATGTATAGGTCTCTGTAACTACTACAAAGGAGACTGGCATAATACCCACACCAATAAATAACAATACTCACTTCACTCTGCAGCTGTTTTTGCAGAGCTTGCTTCTGGGCTTCAAACTCCTTGTGCCCCAGTGCTATAGCATTTTCTGCTTTCTGTAATTCTTTTGGAAAAACCAAAAGCTCAGGAGGTGGCTGAGTTAGGCCTAAAAAGTTTTAAGAAAAAAAAGAAAAAGAAAAAGAAAAAAAAAATTCTAGTCATTATCAATCTTAATTTTGCCTATTTCATTAAAAAAACCTAGAGAGGGTTTAAAACAGTTTTCTTTCATTGTACTCATACAATTAATATTCTACATTAATATTCTACTAATCCTATTATATGGCCTAAGAATAATACTGATTCAAAAATTTCAGAAAATAATTTAATGTATGTTAATATAACTTTATTCCTCCAGGAGCCCTCTAAGATAAAAAAAAAATTCTTTCAAATTCTTAAATTAACCCAATAGCCTATCTTTTCGCTCTATCACATGCAGAAGGTATTTTAAGACAGAGCTCTCCAGTTGTCACCTGTCAGTGCCTGTCCCTGATTTCATCTCATCTGAACAGCAATCCATGGCAGTTAGTATCCAGAAATAAGGCTGATAGTAGTCTCCATTTGGGTCACCCAAAAGCCCCATTAATAAAGTGTATCTTATATAGGGCAATCATAAAGGACAATATAGTACAAACAGGGCTTCAGTGTTAGTGCTCCTTTAACACTAAGGGTTTAGGAAAGGAAGAAACTTCCAAAGGTACAATGAGTAGGCAGAAGCACAGAACACTGATGGGAGGGCTCCAGCAAGGACTATGAGTGCTCTTGGCTGAAGGGCACAGAAAATAGGCAGCCCAGACTGGAGGCCAAGGTTAGGAATAGAAATAATTACAAATTCAACCTCCTCTCTCTGCCTTGTTCCAAGTGCTTACTGGCTCAAGAAAGGCAACAGCCAGAGAGCATGAACACTGAAAACACCCACAGAGGCAGTTATTTAACAAATATTACTTACATTTAAACTCCTAATTAAGCAATAGCAAACAAGCAAACAAACAAGACAAAACAAAAAAACAACCTCAATGTAAGGATCTTAAAAGATTTCTCCTAATGTAAGCCTCGTTTATAGATATAAAGTAGTTCTATAATCCTGACCTAATGTAAATAACAAACATGCAGATCAGAAAAAAAAAAAAAAAAAAACATACGGTGTAGATGTTTGCTATTCTCTTCCAGTTGCTGTTTAAGTAATTTATTTTCTGCCTGAAGCTCCATTTTCTCTTCCTTCAGTAGTGAGTAATCACTCATCTCTTTCACCTTTTCATTCAGCAAGTGGTTTTCTTTTGACATTGTCAAAAACTGAGTTTTGACAGACTCTAGCTCCACCTAAAAATGAAAAAGGAAAATTTATATCTGAGTAACTTTCACAGCATTGCAGAAGTAAAGGCTGGAAAGCTGTCTGAATCTGAGTATCATAAATGAATGACAGTGACAATCAGAGGTCAGGCTCTCTGCAACAAGATCCCTTCTGCACTTGTGATAGGAGAGGAAGCTCAGAGCCTGTATCAGTAGACATCTGTCCTATGAAGTGTGGGAAGGGTGTATGGTGAATGCAATGTGTATGGTGAGTCAATCCCCAAATGCCACCAATACAACTGCATAACATAACAAGACATTCTAAAAACATAAACAGATGAAAGGTGGAAACAATCTATTGTTGTGAGGTACTTTCCTTACTCTAATGTATCTGGATCTGGATCAGAAAGCCTACACAGATCTAACGGCTCCAAAGATAAATTTAACCTATAGAATCTACTTCAGTTTGTTTTAGACAGGGTCTCACTTAGCCCTGGCTGGCCTGAAACTCAAGAGATCTCCCTGCCTCCTAGGCACTAGGATTAAAGGTGTGCAGTACTGCACCTAGCTATAATCTGGTTTAATTACCCAAAGTTCTAGTTCTGTCAATTACATGAAAAGACTACGACTGAAAAATGTATATAGTATTAGTGGTGTGTAAAAATTTTACCTTACTTTATCTAAAAAATCTGTAAGAGAATAATGTAGTGATAGAAATTTTTACTTGCTACCAATGAAATAGAAGAGGCTAAGACAGAAGTTTCTGTATACTGGCCACCTGCTATGGGTACTTTACCCAATTCCCCCAACAATCGTGCTTTGTTAGAAATAGTTTCAAGATTATAGTCACAAAACTTGCCTAAAGGCAAATAAGCAGTAAGGGAGGGAGATACAATTTGAGCAGCAGGACTCATAAGCTCTTTTTCTATGTGCCTTTGCTTGAAATTAGAGCCTACTGTATTAACTTCAGCTATCACCTTCTTAGTCAAAAAATAATCAGTCCAAGCACACCAAAAAGATGGCATAAGGGGCCAGAGAGTTAAGTGTTAAGAGCATTTACTGTTCTTCCAAAGTATTAGAGTTCAATTCCCAGCACCCACATGACAGTTAAGAACACTCTGTAACTTCAATTCCAGGGGATCTTACGCCCTCTCCTGTCCTTCACAGGCACTATACACATATGATAGAAAGATATACATACAGGCAAACTCTCATACACATAAAATAAAAAAAGTTTTCAAAACACCCCTATGTTCCCTATAAATAAATATACAGCATTAACCTTAACATGTCATTAGGAAAACTTAAGAAACAAGTTTGATAATTACCTCAATTTCTTTCATACGCATTACAGATTTACTGAGTTCTTCCTTTTTTGAATTAATAACTGTGAGCTCTTCTTGCAAATGAGTAGTTTTTTCTGGGGAATAAAAATGAACCAATTAAACAGTGATTTCCTACTGAATACAGAAGACATTTAATAATTTATGGTCACTCTGTGAGACCTACTCAACATTGTCTCACAGTTTAAAGCAACAAGTGTATCAGCCAAAAATTCAGTGGGCAAATAAATAAGTCCCAGTTCCCAATGAGTGATGCCAAATTATAACTGTCACATATGTGGTGATATTCCTATTACAAGCTAACCAGTTACTGAGCATCTGAGCAGAGCATGGTTCCTTCCTGTAACACAAGTCTATGCAGATATATACCAATAGAAGAAAATTTACTAAATCTAAATACATGATAGCACTACACTACAAGATGCATCTGCTTTTATATGACGGAAGCAAAAGGAGCCACATAGTTGGTATCTGGTCAGTAGTAAGTCAGCAGCTTCAGTTTACTTCAAAAACTGTTTGAAATTTCCAAAGTTTATGTTCTTTTCACAATTTCCTAAAATATATTGAAATATAAACTGAGGGATCAATGTATACTTGAGAGCTTTAGGAAGTATAAAGACATGTTAAAAAAAAAGGAACTATGAAAACAGGTCACCGAGAAAGTAAAAATTTCTATAATGGAGTTGGAGAGATGGCTCCATAGTTAAGAGCACTGGTTGCTCTTTCAGAGGACCTGGACTCAATTCCCAGCACCCCTATGGCAGCTAACAAACTATAACTCCAGCTCCAGGAATCGAACATGCTTTACCCGACTCCACAGGTACTGCATGCACGTGGTGCACAGACATATGTGCAGGCAAAATACCCACACACATGCAATAAAAATAAGTCTTTAAAAAAGAAATGAAGAACCAGTGAGATGGACTAATGGGTAAAAACATTTTTTGCTAAGTGTGACAACCCAATTTCAATGCTAAAGACCTAACCGTAGAAGGGGAAAAAAAAATCCTGTAAGTCTTCTGACCTCTACATGTACAGTATATAAAACATACACATTCTCCTCCTGATAAATAAATATGTAAATAAGTTTTGTAAAAAGTGAAAGCTGTATTTAAGAATATACAAGAGAAGCCGGGTGGTGGTGCCACACACCTTTATTCTCAGCACTCCAAAGGCAGAGGCAGGCGGATCTCTGAGTCAGATGCCATTCTGGTCTACAGAGTGAGTTCCAGGTGAGCCAGGGCTACACAGAGAGATCCTGTCTTGAAAACAAAAACAAACAAACAAAAACCAAAATATGAAACAGATGCACCTTAGAAGGCTAATAACCTCTATCAGAACAGAAATAAGCCAGCCATCCACATCACCTCTATTCTTCCTTTCCTCTTCCAGGAGTTTATTTGTTCTAGCGATGTAGTCATCCTTTAGTTCCAGCTGGTACCTGAGAATCAGAATGAATAAAATGAGGAGGTCCTCGCCATCTCCCTGAAAAGAACACTAACCCTGAAGAGCTTATCTGTGGCCCAACATACCTAAAGGTGCCAAAATGGCTGAGGAGAAGCTTCAAAGTCTCAGTCCTAAGGCCAAGGAACTGAATTCTAAACATCAAAGGTCCACTAAAACCCTGCCTCTATACTGTAAATGTAGCCCCAAAACTCAATCACACAAAATGAAGGGTGTTATGAGTTTCCTGAAAACAACTCCTTTCCCCCTGGTCTCAACTGGTACAGAGAGCATAAAAGGAAGCAAAGAAAAGCTTACCTCGCACACAACAGAGTTTGTGTCCCCAGAGATAGCAAAGGAGTCAGGTACTTATAATATGTCTGCAAATCTCCCCAGACCCAACAGAACCCTCTTAAGGTTTATATACAACTGAGAGCCTACTGGTATTATATCCATATCAGCAATTGCAAAAAGGATTTTTCCATGGAGTTTTACTTATTTTCTTCAGTTATCACTAGTCAGAGATAGGCAGAAATAAAGACAACCCCTCCCTATAATGAACATCCTCTACCTGTACCTTTGCTGAAACAAAGGCAAATACTAAAGGTTATTAGGTGGGGCATATACAACTGCCACTGAGAAAAGTTACCAAAGAAGTATCCTTGCTCTGGGATTCTATCCACTGGCATATAAAATTCAGACTAGAAAAGCTAAAGTACCTGCACATGATGGCACACATCTGCTATCACTGAACTTGGGAGCCTGGAGCAGGAGAATCAAGACTTTTGGGGTCAATCTGGGCTACATAGCAAGAAGCAGGAAGGAAGGAGGGTGGGCCAAAGTAACCACAGCTCTCATATTTTCTCAATCCGGGCTACAAATCAAGAAGCAGGAAGGAAGGAAAATTTTCATTTTCCTATACCACCTTTGGCTCCATTTTGTTGACTTTAGTTCCTTTCTTATGATTCTGGCCTTAAAGGGTCTTGAGAGGACAAAGCTGATCAAATTCTACGTGAAATAATTTGCAAATTGTTATGAACTCAGTGGCTGTCTCTTTGACCTCCTCACTCCTCCCCCGAGGGAGGAGCAGCCTTGCTAGGCCACAGAGGAGGACACTGCAGTCGGTCCTGATGAGACCTGATAAGCTAGGGTCAGATGGAAGGGGAGGAGGACCTCCCTTATCAGTAGACTTGGAGAGAGACATGGGAGGAGATGAGGGATGGGAGGTAAGACTGGGAGGGAATGAGAGAGGGGGCTACAGCTGGGATACAAAGTAAATAAACTGTAATTAATATAAAAAAATAAAAGTTTAATTGAAAAAAAATAATAATTTGTAAATTGCTTCTGACATTCATTTAAGTGGCAGCATGAGAAAGATGACTAAATTGAATAGAATTCCAGTTTTACAGCTGATCAGCTATATAAGCTAAGCAAGTCATGTGGTGCCCTACAGTTAAAGGGAGTAATTAATACAATCTAACAATACTTACATATGTAAGGTTAAAAAGTAAAACACAAGGCCTCACAAACACAGAAGCTATGAATAAGAGCAGTTGATGTAATCATATGCTTTAAAAACTATCTTAACTAAAGTATTCATCAAAAAGGTTTGATTTGTCATAGATAAGTTTTGTTCAAACAAAGAACTCTGCCATGTAAATATTAGCCTTCATCACTTTTAAGCAACTTAATTCGAACATATTATTCTTTAAAAACCACCAATTACTTTAGAAGTTCTGTTTTGAGTTTCTGATCATAGTTCTCTTCAATATTCTTTAGATTTTGTTCCCATCTCTGAAGTGCCTCAGTCTCACTTTTATATTTTTCTTCTTGGATCTTCTGAGTCCTGAAATTAACAAACAAACAAATAAACACATACATACATAATAAAATAAAGCAAAGTACAATATCTGATGTATCAAATTTGATGAAAAATGTTTCTAGGAAAGCAGACTGAAATTTATGTGACTGTACTAAGAGGAAACAAAAGAGAAAGTCTCCCCATATTTTATGAACTGACCTAGTTACAGTACATCAAACTAAGGAGGGGACAGTGGGACAGGGGTATCTGGTTTACAGAAGTGGAAATAAGTCCAAACCAAAGTAGTTTCTTATAAGATATAATTAACATTTAGAAACTGTCTAGGAGGGCAGTTTTGGCACTTGCTGCCAAGCCTGAGTTTGATCCTTAGAATCCACAACTACATGGTAGAAGGAGAGAACTAACTCTCACAAGTAATACTCTAACCTCCATGGCATGCATGCACCCAGCCACACACCAATAAATAGATTAATTTTAAAATTAAACACACACATCAAACTGGTTATATCATAAGCACTGGCCCACGCCTATGATTCCAATACTAGACAGGCAGAAGCAGAAATTTCATAATGATACGAAAACCACCCAGATCTACACAGTGAGTTTCAGGTCAGTCAGAGTTAAAAATAAAATGAAACCATATCTCAAAAAGCAAAACAAAAACAACAACAAAAGCCAACCTTGTTCTAGATGGCCAAGTAGCCATAATCAATTTAGAGGAGAATGATGTTACAAACACACAAACAAAAGTTACCTACACACATACCTTTTTTTTTTTCTATAATACTGTTTACAACTGTTGGATCTAATTCACTAGCCTATTGATACTAAAGGTTGAAGACATGCTTTCAACATTTAATAATCTATTGATTAAATACTGATAAAAGGGGATGAAGGAATGAATTAAGGAGAGAGTGAGGGATGGAGGGGTCATATGCTTGCTATACATTTACCCAGTAAGGTCTTCCTAGTGAGACTAAATGAGTACTACTAGCAGTTCTCCACTTCCCAGGTACTGGAGAAAGAATTCCATTCTCAGAAGCACTACCCAATGCTCACTGATCCAAGTAAAAGTTCCAGGTGTCGACACCAGCAAACTAGCACCTTCTGCTGGCTAACCTGTAAAGGCATGGAGCAGCAAAGTACACTTAATTTACCTGAACGCTTAGGAGGGAAGAGCATAAGTGGAGGTAAAAAGTTCAGTAGAGAAGAAATCAAATGAAACAAATGAACTGAGCCTACAGAAGGGAGAAAGCAACGGCAATGAAAATGGTGACAATTTCTTTAATGTGTTAAGACTTCTAGAATGCCTATAAGTGCTAAGAGCAGTTTCAAATTGGGGGGGGGGGAAGTTATATACACACACTACAGATGGTGAGCTTGCTATCAGCTCCAGGTAAGAACTTGACAGATGAAGCATCCTGAGGACTTAGAAAACATTAAGTAGCACGTTCCCCCGTCCCCCCATCACAAGATATGATTCCATACAAGACAAGTTAAAACAGATTTCCTTACTGGTGTACAAAGTAGGTAAATGGAACAGGCCAGGATGCCTTGAGTTCAGCTACATATATGAAAACTATCAGGTTTGATAACTGATGTAGCTGCAAAGATCTATTTGAAGCATCAGGAGTACCTCCAAGTTGTCCAGCCAGTTGATATCACTTCCACAGCCAAGAAGTCTACCTGGCAATTTTATTTTGTTTTTAGGCATGGTATTAACACCATGAGAAATTATCCATGACACATCAACTTGGAATATTCTACTTCCTTTTTTTTTTTTTTTTTTTTTTTTTTTTTTAGTACAGAGCAGATAAATGTAGCAGGCCTAAACAGCTGATTCAAATATCCAGACTGGCCTAGAACTTACCATGTAGCTTGAGATGATCTCAAACTCATGAAAATCAACCTGTCTCACCCTTCCAAAGTGCTGGGATTACAGACATGCACTACCACACTAAGCTTTTACTTGGCTGGGGAGATGGCTCAGTAAATCAAGTGCTTGCCTTGAAGACATGAGGACCTGAGTTTAGATCTCCAACACCCATATAAAAGGCAGTGGTAGATGACAGAGACACATGGATGCCTAAAGCTTGCTGCCCAACCAGTCTACTCAATCACTGGCCTTCAGTCCAACCAATAAAAGATCCTGAAAAAATAGTTTTGAGTGATAAAGGAAGTCACACTGACCTCTGACCTTCACAGGCACTCATGGGTGAGTGCATCTGCATATATCCTTTTAGATATAACACACACAAAATCTTTTAAGAAAAGGCTAGAAAATTTAGACATAATCCACAAAAAGAATATATATTACTTACAACTCAAAAGCTTCAATTCGTTCCTTCAGCTCTGCTTCTCTACGTCTGAACAAATCTATATCATTTAGTAGAAGCTGTCTTTGAGCATAAATTTCTTTTGTTTCAATCTGCATAGGAAAGCATTTACTTTTAGCAAGAAAGTGAAGTTGAATAAAACCAAGAACCATGCATGGAGATAACCTAGGACTCCCCTCCCCCACACACCGCTCAGATGTAGCCTATGGCAGCTCAGTTTTCAAGTGGGTTTCCTAGTAAGGGGAACAGGGACCGTCTCGGACATGAACTCAGTAGCTGTCTCTTTGATCACCTCCCCGAGGGGGACGGCCAGCTTTACCAGGCCACAGAGGAAGACAATGCCACCAGTCCTGATGAGACCTGATAGGGTAGGGTCAGATGGAAGAGGAGGAGGAACTCCCCTATCAGTGGACAGGGGCAGGAGCATGGGAGAAGAAAAGGAAAGTAGGGTGAGGTTGGGAGGGGAAGAGGGAGGAGGCGACAGCTGGGATACAAAATAAATAAATTGTAATAAATAAAAACCTCAAAAAACTGGAACTCAGACATTGCTTCAGAAATTCTAGAACACAATGAAAGTTACAGATATTTAGAGTAACAATTCCTCATTGAAGAGATTTCAATGAAGATTTTTTTTAGATTATATTGTAGTTTCACAAAAAGTACTTCCTTGCACACACAAAAAAATTAGTCCTTCAATGAATGATAACTACATTGCCATTTTTAGAAATATATTCATAATATCCCTAGTCTAGCTCTTTAGCATCACTCATTATTTCCTCACTGAAAAATTTCAGCAAGAAAAACTTTAAACATGCATATTCAGTAATGAAGTTCCAAAAGAGTCTCCATGGTGATTGATGATGGTACCTAAATGTTTCAGTTTATGGGTCATTCTGACTCAAAGCCAGTTAGCAGGTTCAGGTGAACTCCCGAGGGAATGGGCCATCCCATCACTGAACAAGAAAACCAGGACTAGAAAAGTTCCCCAACTTTAACAATCTCACAATTTGGGTAAGGGAGAGAAAAACAATCACACAAGGGTATAATGATTTCTTAACTGAAATATATGAAGACCACATGTATGAAAAACACCTGGATGAGTCACTCAGTGAGTTGAGGAAGAAGTTACTGAGGTGATATCTGGTGTGTTTCAGGACAAGGACAGGCAGCTCCAGGTTCTCCCAGCATTCCTCAGTCCTTACCTGCTGCCTTGCATGGCTGGCAACTCTCTACTGGCAACCCTCTACCCTAAATTTTCCAGGGCAGAGGCTTCCCTTCCTCCTCTTTACCATGTAATCTGACCATTTTGTTGCTATTTTTTCTCTCTCTCTTAACCCCTTGCATGACAACCAAGAGCCGCTTCCAATGAACCTAAATTCCTATACTTTAACTTACCTTACATGACAAGCAGCCCAAGTTCCTCATTTTTTAATTATAGAAAAAGGGAGGAATATTGGGATTTTGGAACCAAACCTGCTTCTGGGTTGCCCAGCAACTTACAATGTCATCATGTGTCACCGGCCAGGTGGCCACACCTGGAAGGCGTGGTTACCTTGCCCCTGAAAGGGACAACCCAACATGTGGTCCCTCTCTTGGTCCTTTCTCTCTTGGTCCCTCTTGTTCCTGGCCTCATGGCCATTTCCCCTTTCTCTATGGAGGCGCCCCTCTTTCCCTTCTCTTTCTTTCCCCCCATCATGTCCTTTTCCCCTTACTCTCCCTCTCTTTATATCCAGTTAATAAACCTCTTTCATATAGAAGATCTATTGTATGCCTAATTGTCTTTATTTAATTTGTCCCATAACATTACAATATCAAGCTGGGTCTTTGAAAAACAGCACAGACTTATCAGGGAGAGATGTGGACAAGCATCCAAAGGCATGGTGTTGCCAATGAGGATGATAATCTTCCACACTTTCATATAAAAGTAACTAAATGGGGATCTAGTCAGTTAACTATATTGAAAATAAAGTTGTTAGTGTAAATATAACCCAGTCTCTTAAACACTTATGCTTATTTTCAAAGATTAGTCTATTTCTCAGATACCCTAGATACACAGAGGGGTCCTATTTAATGTTGTATAACAGGATAACAGATCTTATTCACCTAAGCAAGGGTGAACTCTAGGGGGACGCACTCTTATTTTGAACATTTTCTTACAAATGCTCTGGATGCACACTGAAAACAGTGCTACAAGTCCTGTTTGACTGAAACCAAGCTCTTAGCAAACAAACACTTTTTCTGAAGGACAGCTCTGCCTGAAATGTGACTGGGCAACATAGCCTCTCAGACCCTCAGTCATTCTGAGACTGCCATGTATCACTTCATTTTCTCCAGGATGGGGTCACTCACATTAACTGGTTCTCTTTGTTCTCTTCATCCCCTAGCAGAGCACCAAAGTCTTTCATTCTTGAGGCTGCCTTTCTCAAGTCAAATTAAACTTGGCAAAACACTGTTCCTCAATGACTTCTACTTTTCCACCCTCACAGAAAGGGGTGAACAGGTGCTCATAAATTATCAATCCTCCCCGGAGCCAGAACAGAAACCTCTTGGCCAAGCACATGGTTTGCTCTACCATTTCCTGGCTACTGCCTCAGCTCGGTGTTGCAATGTTAAGATCCTCTCTGCTTTAAAAAGCTGAACACAGGGGTCTTTCCTGAGACTGCTATTCCAACCAAGGACTATGCATGGAGATAACCTAAAACCCCTGCACAGATGTAGCCCAAGGCAGTTCAGTATCCAAGTGGGTTCCATTGTAATAGGAACAGGGAGTGTCTCTAACATGAACTGATTGGCCTGCTCTTTAATTACCTCCCCCTGAGGGGGAAGCAGCATTACCAGGCCACAGAAGAAGACAATCCAGCCACTCCTGGTGAGACCTAATTGAGTAGGATCAGAAGGAAGGAAAAGAAGTCCTCCCCTATCAGTGGACTTGGGGAGGGGCATGCATGCAGAGGGTAGAGGAAGGGAGGGATTGGGACAGGAGGAGGGAGGGAACCACGGGGGGGGGGGATACAAAGTGAATAAAGTGTAATTAATAAAGAAAAAAAAAGCAACTCTCCCTGTTCCATAGCAACTATTTACCTCAGAGCCTCTCCTTAAATGCCTCTCTCTCCAATTTGCCTGACAAGATAGAGCCAGTTTGCTAATTGTCTCCTAATCCCAGTGTGGACATTCACCTCAGTTCTTTTTTTTTCCACCACTGCAGAGCAAAGTCTACAGGAGCTTCTCACAGTTCAGCCATCCCTCCGCACTCTTGATAGCAATTCCAACTGCTATCCTCTAGAGCCTTGCTTATCGGCTGTCCTTTCTGGATCTTAAATGAAGCTACTAACGGCAGTAGGACATAGCCACCAAGTAAATTATGTCCAGCTATTACCTCTTGGTGCTTTTTAATCCTTTCCAGAGTGTTCTTTTCCTGAGATAAGAGGGCTTCATTTTTTTCTTGACAAGTTCTTTCAAATTCACTCCGGAACTCAGCCAATTCCTTTTCATACTTTCTTTTCTCTTCCATCTTAATTTTTGCTATTTCAGCTTCTCTAAAATACTTCAGCTATGAATTGAGCACAAAAACTGAAAAGTTACTTAAAAACAGTACAAATTCACTCTTCACTGATTTAATAATAATATTCTAAAATATATCTTCATTTTTAGTTCATTCATTATTCTATTGGATTCAGTTTAAAAAGTGTGAACAAATGATATCAATGGAGATTACAAAAAAAGAGCCAATGTGCTTAACAGTGTAGTACTCCATTCTTTAATAAAATGTTCTAGATTTCCCCCACATAGACAGTAGAAGATAAGTGGGATGGCTCTCATTAATAGCAGCAAGAACTACAGCTTACCTTTTGACACATTTCTACCTGAAGCTGGTGCTGTATTTCTTTCTTATATTCATTTAACTTTATATCTAAAGATTCTAGCTTGGGACGATGAGGAAGAGCATCTGCAAACTGATCATCGATAAGCTGAAACTTCTCGGCTATTAAAAAAATAACACAGTCAATTAGGAAATATAAAATCAACTCAGTAATGTATGCCAGCGGTCCAAGGCAGACTATACTAAAAGGGAAGTAGTCTATTACCTACTTTAAAATATATTCAAAAACCGAGATAAGTTGATAGATAAGTGATGAACAACGATAATACAAATTTCACAGTAGCATCTATGTAGGTAAATATTCACTGTAACATTGTTTCAACTACTCTGCATGTTGGAAATGATCATAAATAGGCGAGGGCAACAAGTACAAATCAATCCCTTCTCAGTTTCTAAGTACAGAAGGCTTGAATTGGACATGAATTAAAGTTAATACATGTTCAAGACAAAGATTTTAAAAGCATAAAAGTTATGTACTTTAACTCTTGCATTTTATAGATAAGAAACAAATGGCCACAGAATTCGAGTGACCTCAAGAGGGTTAAAAAAACTATAGCACAACAAGGCTCACCTCAAGGCTTGCTGACTTTCTCATGGCAGATCTCTTTCCAGGAGGCCCTTGGCCCTCAAACCAACCATGGAGCAGAGGGTAACCCTGAATCCCGTACGCACCACAAAGCAAAAACAAAACAAGACAAACAAACAAAAACCCACCACCAGAGCACATACAGGAAGAAAGGGATAGTAGTAGTTGAAATACTGAGTGTTTGTGGCAGGCATAATTGTGGGCATGTTTTCCAGCTACTTATTTCACAAATAAGCCATAACCACACAGTCTGACCCAGGACTTTCTAGCCACATGTGGTCACTGAGTATTTTAAACAAGACCAATCTGAATTGAAATGTGCTCTAAGTGAAAATGATACACTAGATCTACAAGAATTGCTATAAAAATGTATGTGAATTATCTCATTAATATTTTTATGCTGAAATGTTATAATGTTTGGGGTTAAATAATTAAAATGAATTTTACCTGTTTCTTTTCATCTTTTTAAATGTAGCCACCAGAAAATTTCAAAATTATCACCAGAAAATTTCAAAATTATCTGCGCGTTTTATTCCTAGAAAGCTTTCCTTCTTCTTCGCAATGAACACATAATATTTTGCTAATGGTATTAAAACTATGCTTAAGGGCCTAGTTGTAGAAGACAGTTTTATAAATGATGAATTCCTTATCTTTCTATAAGTTAATAGAACACTGACCAAAACATATATTAATTTAATGGCTATAAAATAAACTCAGAGAAAACATGAGATGAGTTTCCTAGTTAAGAGAAGTTAAACTCCACAAGTAAAACAAAACAAAAACAAAAACAAAAACCTTGGTCTTGGGATCCCTGTATAGATGGCCAGTGTAGCCCTGGTATTCAGGATACATTATGACAGTGGAAAGCAATTCCTGGTCCCTCCAGCAACACAATTCTGGAAAAAATCAATTACTTTGTCACCTACATACAGGTAGCATTCTTCCAGATTTGGGGGGGATCACATACTATGATAAATAAGGTTAACTTTCTTCTTCCAAAAACAAAACAAGGCCAAGTGACATAGTATGCATCTGTAAATAACAGCATTCAGAGGAGGCAGAGGAAAGACAATCAAAAGTTTGAGTTCAGCTCCATCTACACAGTGAGTTCAAATCCAGCCATAGCTACATAGTGAGACCCTATTTGAAAAATAATCAAGCAAAACAAAAAATAATAAGATACCAGCAGAATTGAAGTAAAAAGGCTATAATTACCTAGGGACACTTTGCTAGGAAATGTGGTGCTTGTCTGAGTTTCCATATCACAGCTCTCTTTATCTTGATGATATTCTGCCAATTCCTTTAAGAAATTGATAAGAAAACCTAAAAGCACAACATAGTTTTATTTTAGAACATCATTCAACCACTTCATTTGTTGTTTACAAGCCTTGGTTTATAATATTATCATTTGATTACTGAAGAAAGCTTTTTCCAAGCATAAAGCTTAAAACGAATACAAGAACTGCAATAAGAACAAAAAAATTATAAATTTACATGTTATAAAGTCAAAAGAAAAATGATATATTGGGAAAGAGTCTGCTATACAGAGAATTCTTGCAATGGCAAAGAACTTTTACAAATCAGTAAAACAAAACAAAAAAAGGAAAAGACACGGACAAAGTTAACAGGAAGAAAATTTAAATGTAAAATAAACATGAACATCTTTTAAATGTTAGACAAATACATAGAAACCCATAAATAAATGCAAATTAATAACATAAAAGAGAGGCTACAGTTTCTATATAACATTGTTAAGATTCAATTTGCTGGTAATGTCAAGTGCTAACATGGAAATCTAGGAGAACAATTTGTCAGTATCCTCATATATTCCAAATGCAGATTTTTTTTTTAACTTAGTTACTTGGAGTTTACACTTCCCTTTCAATAAGGACACAAAGTATACATGATGCATACTTATTGCTTCTCATAGCAAAAAACAAACAACTGAGTCTCCATCAATAGGGAGTTAAATATCTTCTTTAAAAATGGTCTAAACAGTTGAAAGGACTCCTGCTTCGTTGGCCAAATTACAATCTATCTTTTATTCCTTCATACTAATGATTTTAACATTCTACTCCCACAACTGTTGATTCCTTTACATATGCAGAGACACATGGAAACCTCACAATTCCCCCTCACAATCACATATCTCCCCTATCTAAAAATCAAACAAAAACTACTTAAGTTCTCAATCATAATGGGAGTCAGTTCTCTCTTTCTACCATGTGGATCCTGGGGATGAAACTCAGGTAGTCAGGCTTGGCAAAATGCACTTTTATGTACTAACCCATCTCACTGGCCCAAATTCCTGTTGTAACAGTGAGAAAGTTGGCTCTTACTATCTACCACCTATACACTTAACTGTAATTTCATAATTATTACTAAGTCCTCCCATGTAAGTAACTATCACCTACAGTACAGTCCAATTCCTTTGGCTGTTAGGCTCCACTGATTTCCAAAGTTAGGATGTTCACCCAACACACTCTAAGCTCAAGTGAGAACACGATAGTAACAGTGTGGCCACAGTCTACATTATTCCATCTAGAGATCACCTAATGTCCTAAATTTGAATTGTAGTTCTCCTTGTACTGATTTTTGCCAAAATTAACAAAAGGTTAATGGTTAGCAGAGCTCTTCAAATGTTGGTACTTGGATACTTAACACAACTGCTACTCAGTTTCTCTGGGTTCCAGAAATTTTATTGGATTAAGCTGGTAACAGATGTTAGATGTTTTTTGACACAGAAGCATTTAAGGAGACTACGGAAACATGGGCAATAATCTTTTAAGGATAATATAAAAATCTATAGTAAACAGGATTATTTATAAATACTGCTTCAAGCTCTAAATCTCAAAATTTTGGTAACAAGCATTACTTGTATATTTAAGGCCAGTGCTTTCTAATTGGCAGCCGTGTGGATAAATGAATTCAAAGTCAACTAAAATCAAGTTCACTGTTCAGTCACAATAACCCCATTTCAAGTACCACATGAACCACTACATGGCTACCACATGAGACAGCAGAGATAGGCATCTCCATCAAAACAAGAGTTACACTAAATAGTACACTGCCTTGGAGTTCAGAATGTAGGGTCTACTCATACACTTAGTAGGATGGAATAAAAGACAGTCATTCTTTTATTTTAAATAATTCACTTGTATTTAGACTGCCAAACACCTTATTTTGTTGTACAAATGGATCCAGCCTTTGGAAGCTGTTTCACTGTGGAATGTAACATAATGAAATTCAATTGTGATGATCTATGTCTATGTTGCAGGAAACCTAGAACATCTTATAAGCCAATTTTCTTAACCGCTACAATCACCACTTCTAAGAGACAAGGCAATTAAATCAAAGACTAATGGCTGGTTGAAAGAAGACATGCCAATGTTGCTCATTAAGTTCTGATCTTATGAACATTCCAGCAGGGATGGTAAGACAAAAATTCACACAAAGGGACCACTGCAACATGCCACAGTACCAAGTCTAAAATATGATCTGGTAACAACAGTAACAATATCCTATATGAAAGGCCATTATCAAGGCCAGAGTTGAGGTAATTTATCAAGACTGTATAAAATTTTAATTTATAAAAAAAAACATTGGTATTTTAAAGAAACTACTAATATACTTAACACTTCACAAATTACATTGAAGGAGGATATCTAATATACAAAATACTCAGCTTGTATTACTAGATTTTTTCAGGGGAGGGGAGTTATTGCATCAATGTTCTAAACAGTGGGTATTCTGTAAATAGTATTTTCATTTGTTAAGTTCTTGACTATTGCTTGCAGTGTCCTTACTTTAATATCTAAGATTTATTAAAAAGAGAGAAATGTGGTATAAATAACCTATGTTTATCAAAATAACATGTGAATGGCTGCTTATTTAAAAGAAAGCCATGGTCATCAAAGAAAATCAAATGTTTTCATTTTAATTAAATTTTCTTTTCTTTTCCCTAATAACACCAAGCTTCTCAGTTTTGTAAGGAAAAGCACATATAAATATCTTGCTATTCTCCACAAAGATGAAGGCTCCTACCTTTTTGGTTTTCTTTATCAAATCCTGAAATCTGTTAAAAGAAAATATTTCACCATTATTAACTGCTCATTTATAAGTAGCAAATCAAAGTAGATCATAAAAACAATCTTACCAGTGATCTGTAGAGACTTGAAGAGGGGTTGATTCGAATGAGTTGTAATAAATCTTGCATAGTAAATAGCTTAAAGAGAAAAAAAATATTAAGTAGCCAGATTTGTATACCAATAAGTTTAAGCGATTGAGATGTTACTGAATATAAAATTAAGATTCATTTCAGATTTAAAATATTATAATTAACCTAATGATTCAAAAATAAAGTGTTTACAGTAATAAATTGTTGAGGTAAAAAAATCAAAGACTTTCTTTACTTTTTAAATTACATTCATTTAATATGTGTGTTAGGAGGGCATGAACATGATATGGTGTACATGGGGAGATCAGAGGACAATTTGTAGGAAATAAGTTTAATCCTTCCTTCATGTGGGTCCTGGGACTCCAATTCAGGCCATCAAACCTTCGCAGCAAGTGCCTTTATCTGTTAATACATCCTGCCTGTCCAGAAAAAAAATCTTTAACCAAGTTATTAACCTCTAATTACTAATGGGAATAAAAGAAATGATTAATGCCTTACAGATGACACTCAATTATCTGGTGAATCAGTGGATATATGAATGAATTTCAGGATCCTTATAGTTATTTTAAAATGTAAATAAACTCCAGGTTTTATTATTCTTACAACTACTACTGACTACTGTTTCCCTGAAATATTTTTAATCATACATCTATTCTTGATATATGTATTTCCACTATAATATGTATTTGGTACTCCAATACAATGTATTTACACATGGTTTCCCTTTAAAGAAAAGGTTCTATTTGGCATTTATGTTATATGAGAAACTATTAATGATATGGACTGGTTTAATTACTATAATTATATAACTACTACACAGCAAACAAAATTATAAAATGTATCAGTAGAAAAAAGATGAGCTACAAGTGAATTCTTGTTTTAAGACAGGGTGTCATTATGGATATCTGGTTGGATTGGGACTCACCAAGCTAGCATAAAAATATGGGATTATCTTCTGTCTGTTTAATACTGAGATTACAGATGTGTGCCACCATGCTTAGCTTAAAAAGTAAATTACTTATGCTGACACATTGAACATAGTTGTTAACAAAGTACAGCATATTTAAAGTTTAATCTTTCATAGGAATACTAACACTGTTCGTATTTCTTAAACCTTCTGTACAATTACTAACAACAATAAAAACCTACAGAGACAACACCAGGAATGAATGCTAATGTAAAAGATAGACTTGATTAACAATGGTCCAGTTGGGATCATTGATTGCAGCCAATGTATTCCTAGATGTGAGATATTGATAGTGTGGGACTACATGAATGGGGGAAGGAGGGAGAATTTATGAAAACAATGCTCAATTCTATCCCAAACTTAAAACTACTCAAAAACAAAATTCTATTTTAGATAATATACAAGTACTGAGGATGTTTGTTAAATATGACTTTAAAGTAATTAATAAAATGGGATTAGTATATTCAATGGTGACAAGAACTAGTTAAAATCACTAAAAGAGTGACTAAACCATGTGATGTGTGCTTTTATATTTGGGATCTTTATAGATTTCTTTAAATTATGTATTTTGCACTTCTTTTATGAAACTACAAAGCAAAGAAATATCTGCAACAATCTAAAAGGAACACATGTTAGAAATCAAAAGCCCCTGTAATGCTACTTAAACACTGTGTGCAAATCGAAATCACTTCTTCATCCTTCTACAGTCTGCATCATCATTTGAAACATGTGTGCTACCTGCAGTGTACCTAGCACAGTACCAATTTCACAGTGGACATTACAGAAATGGCAGTTAGCAGTCTAATTTAAACCACATGGAATATAACATCACTTTTAGCTTCAAAACATTTAGTGATGTCACATCTCACTATCTTATAAAAGACGAAAATGCCAAAGCATTAACAACGGTCACATTTGGTACTCATTTGTTATTCAATGTTTATGCAAAGATGGCTTCAATGACAAACAAGAAATGAAGAGAACCAGTCAAGTGACAAGCAGGGCAATTATGTAGCACTTCACAATTATCAGAGGAAGAAACTATCAAAAGAAATTTCAAAACCAGCAGACTTACCTTTTCTTTTGCCAAACCACTTTCTGGAAAGAAAACAGAAAGTGAATATTCATAGCCACATCTCTGTAAGTGATCTGCCACCAGTGAGTTAGAAGCACCTATTAGGAGGGCACTCCCTTCCACTGAAATAGATGCAGGCTTCACTTCTCCACTCAACACGGGATGCATCAACTCCTGAATTAACTGGTTCCGGAGTTGGGTCTAGCATGGAAATAGAAAAAAAAAAAAAAGAAGACAAAAGGAGATACATTTCACCAGAGTAGAAATATACCCAGATCTGTTAGATTAATTGAACTCTTTAATTTTCAAAATGATTCTAGATCCATAGGTAGAAGGTAGGAATCACTTTTTTCATAATTTGTCTTACCCTTCAGTGGACTTGGGCAAAAGCTTTCTTTCCCAGCTCCCACATCCATTGTCTGTAGACCATAACTTGAATTCTCTAAAAGAAATTTCAGCTGCTTGTAATCATAAAATCAAGTCAAAGGGAAAATTCTGCCATTTCATTCCAACTGTGGATTGTGGCAGTCTATGAAAGCAGTATTTCTCAATCCAGTTCATTAGCATATTGATGCAAATAAACCTTAGCTGTCTCCCACCAGGGTTTCTCTGTGTAGCCCTGGCTGTCCTAGAACTCATTCTATATATAGATTGATCACTCTGGCCTCAAACTCAAGAGATCCACCTGCCTCTGCCTCCCAAGTGCTGGGATTAAAGGCACATGCCACCACACTCAGGTTACAACGTAGTTCTTAATAGAGAAATAACATACAGGAGGGAAACTAGTAAGTCCCATATCACATATCAAGAATGTACTTTTGGGCTGACAAGATAGCGCAAAGAATAAAGGCACTTTTCATGCAAGCCAGATGACCAGAGTACCTAAGGTGGAGGAAAAGAACAGACTCTCAAAAAATTGCCCCTGACTTCCACATATGGATATACACAGTCATGCATGTACATACACACTTTAGAAAAAAAATGCATTACCACATAGGATATTTATTCACATGTTAAGACACTGGAAGATAGATTTCTCAGCACTGATAAATGAGGAAATGAAGGGTCAGAGTAGGTAATTTTCTTCATGTAACAAGATTGTGTTATCCATTGGAATTTTAAGAAAATCTCCTAAATCATTGATATTATTAGATGTTAAAGTAGTTTTCTGCATATAGTTTGAGGTATACAATTGTGCTGAACTTAGCAGCAAGTTATCTAGATTATTGAGGTTCCACAGGAAACAAAATCTAATCATTTATTTGGCATACATGGCAGCACCAAAAGTAGTCCTTAGTTTAAATTTCTGCTATCCTTAACTATGGTAGAGTGATTGCAGCTAAAATCCCTTTCATAGGAGAAAAAAAGAACATCTACCCCTCCCAATGACAAATGATGCACCATAGCTCCCTCTGGGGAGCCACTGAGTTTATTAGATTTGCTAACAGAGCAATGCGTGAGGTATTATGGGTGGAAGTGTAGACGCCCTTAAGGCAGCCACAGTAAGGAAGGCACCCAGCATGGTAACTCCCCCAAAGCTTCCCCAATCTATATACCCCAACTCACCCCCGCCCCCAGGAATGGGGCCATTTGCAATTATAGTAGAAGTGCAAACAACTATTTGGGAGGAATGGTTGGATACTCAAGTGAGGGTCCCATGATGATCCTTCCCACTCTACTTTTAGGAAGGAATTATCAACTGTCAGCAAGCCCAACTGTGATGATCTTTTGTGAGCAGGCCCAGCTCAACTCCTGAAGATGGTGGGAGTTTGGCTCAGAAGATAGTCCTGAACAATAATAGTATACATTAGTGCCATGACAGAGCAGAACCTATTATGTACCTAAAATCCTCTACTTAAAAGACATTTATACTGAACAAAGCACACATGCTCAGCATCATCTACAATTTACAACCTAAAATAGTAAAGAAAGAAAAAGAAAAAAGTAAAAGGGAGAATGCAGTACCCTTAACCAATTAAATTAGAAGTTGCTTAATTACATCTGTAATATACTGAGGAAGAGCTATACTCAGAGCCAGCTTAATAAATAGAATAATTTAAGGATACCTTGCCTAAAAGAAAAATTTAGTATTATAAACACGATGAATAGAAAATAAGAGCCAGAAAAACTGAAACGGCAATTATAAATGAATTGCCATCTTGACAGCCACAAAAAAAAAAAACAAAAAGTACTTGCTAGTAGTCACAAAACTGGCTTGGAGCTTCCCAGCAGGCAATGCACAAAGGAAATCTGTTCAAAATTAAATTTTGCAGGCTGGAGAGATAGCTTAGTCAGTAAAATACTTTGCTAAATAAACATAAAGTCCTGAATTTGATCCCCAGAAACCACATAAAAAGCTTGCTGAGGTGATGAACAATTGTAATCCCAGTTCTCAGGAGGTGAAGCAGGAAGATCCTTTAGGTTCACTGGCCAGGCAGTCTACATGAATTAGAGAGTTCCAGATACAATTAGAGATCCTGTCTCAAGAAAAAAGGTGAAATGCAACTGAGGAAGACAGCTGACATCAACATCTGGCCCCAACACCATGTTAGTGCACCTGCACAACCCTTACACACACAATGTTCTTAAGATAAAAATCAAACGTAGCATGAGGGCTGCTGATGGATTTCAGTTGGTAGAGTATTTTCCTTTCATGCATAAGGCCCCAGGTTTGATCCCCAACACCAAATAAACAGGTGATTCAAATAAACAAGGACGTTTAAGCTCATCCTTGGGTCTATAGATAATTCAAGGTCATTCTGGACTACAAAGACTCTGTCTCAAAAAAGAAAGTCACTAAGAGTAACTGTTACATAATCATGAGGATTGGAATTTAGATTCTGGTACCTGTGTAACAAGCCAGCTAGGTGCAAAATGAGGGATCAGACAGCCTGTTCAGGCCTCCATGCTCGGGTAAGCACACACACTACACATCTGCATACACTTAGGCAGACAGAAATAATTCATGATACACACACACACACACACACACACACACACACACACACAGGACAATTGTCACACACGAGGTAGGAAATTCAAAGTATGAGAAAAAAAATTATTACCCTTAACACACATCTCAGAAATGGTCTCAGCTAGACCAAAAATAAATAAACAGATGATTTGACAAGTTTCATTTAATATATACCTAAACTAGAAGTAGTATAAGATGCCTGTAATCCTGACACTAGGAAGGTTGAGATAGAAGGACCACCATGAATTTGAGGTAGTATAATGAGATGCTATCTCCAAAAAAACTAAAATTATGAAAAAACCTCAAAGCAAACAAAGGCACCTATAAATAAATGACTTTGCAGTTGACCATGAATACAAATCCTTTTCAAATAATAAAATATAAATTAGGCCACTAAATTTTATAAAATTTAAAAGTTATAACCCACCCAATATCAGTCATTGAACTGTCAAAGTAAAAATTAGCTAAATTCAAGAAAATAAAAATCTGCCCTGCCTTTCATCCAGTTGGGTAAAAAAACAATAGCCAGCCACACTGTAGCTTACACAAAAGGGTATAGATAAATATAGCCATGGTCAATACCAAATAAAACTAAGATGTGAAAGACGCAAGTATAATCTAGAGTATAACATGTCCAGAATGCAAAGATTGTTCAATGTTACAGATTAACAAAGTATAAACAATCCAGGTGGTTGAATCTAGTATCATTAATGGGTTAATGAGTTGGATATAAAAGATCAAGCATTTCCAATGTGAGAGCTGGAGATGGTTCAGTTGCTAAAATACTTTCTGGGCAAACATGAGAACTCGAGTTCAATCTTTAACCATACACATAAAAACCTAGGCACGTTAGTGAGTGCTTGTAATCCCAGCACCCAGAGGTAAAACGGGAAGAATACCTGGAGCTCAAGGGCCAGAGAGAGAGAGAGAAACTCTGTTTCAAAACACAAGGGGGATGGCTCACAAAGATATGTAAAGTAGACCTCTGGGCAACACAGGAACACACACACACACACACACACAAAGAGTAGGGGGAAAAATCAGGCTCACCTTTCTTTATTTCCCAATTCCATATGTAAAAATGTATTTCTGAAAGGTATACTGTAATGAAACACATTAAACTACTCCGTCCCTTGCTGTTACCCAAAATTATGGGGCACTAACAATATTTGCTTCTCATTTTAAATATTCACATTCCAAGATATTTTATTTTTATTTATTATTATTACGACAGGGTCTCACTATGCAGTCTTGGCTGACCTGGAACTGGTTTTTTGGCCCAGGCTGCCTTCACAGAAATGTGCCTGCGTCTGCTTCCCAAGTGCTGGGATTAAAGGCATGTGACAACACACCTTCATATTTTCTATGTAGTATCATCTAGACTCTAAAAATCACCTATTAATTCTGAAAGATGTAAACCTAAGTTAATGGGTATGTTTTTTAGTTAGCAAAGAAATTAATAAGCTTCATTTTGATGTTTTCACACATGTATGCTATGGAAACATAGTCACCTTCCCATTACCCTTTTCAGTCCTGTCCTTTCCCTTCTGCTTTCATTACATATATGACACATGATCAAATCTAGATTAAAAACAAGATCTGTAACATCAGCTTAGTGTAATGACCTGTTCACTATAAACATGTTATGTGCTACCTTCATATCAGTTCAATAAACCTATTATATGTTATTTTATACCTGAGTATATGTTTCATACCTGATTATATGTTCTTTTTAAACCTGAGCCATCATTATCTGCTTCCTCCCAAACCCTCCACGGCCAGATTAAAACTCAACATTTTAAGAATGTAATTCACCAATACAATCTGTATTTTAGTATTTTAGAGAGCCAAGCTCTGGATGAATTTAACTGTGGAACTACCTGCTGTTAAAGGTTACACTTCTGAAAGTAACAACATAGTAGTGCCTAAATCTGATACCTTAAGTGTGTCCAGTATACCCCGATCCTTAAATGTCTGGTATAGCTTTTTGCGCAGTTCATCTTGACTCAATACATCACACTTGGCCGACATGGTGGACTGTAAGAAAAAAAAAAAATGAGTTACCTAGCGGCAAAGAGGATCTGAACTTCAGAAATCAGACCAGTGGCCTCCCCGGAAGCCCTAAGATGTTCAACTGAGCCGTAACGAACATAAACATGGAACGTCCTTTCTGAAAGACCCTGGGTAGTGGCAGGTAGAACTACCTGAGCCATTGTTCTCTGCTTCCTTCGAGCTCGGCTCTCCACGGCCAGACGCTGTGGCCCAGGCCAGGCGGCAGGTGGAGAGGGAGTCCCTGACCTCCGAGCCCCAGCCTCTGTCACTGAGGGCCGGGAAGAACGAGGGAGCTAGAACATCAGCCCATTGCTCCGACAAACACTCCCACTTCCTCCCTCAGTTGGAAAGGGTGGGCGGGGCCGTGACCCAGGAGGGGGTCTAGACGGAAGGATAGACCAGAAGGGGATCAGACGCGCCTGCTCAGTAGACGGTTTTCACTGTCCCATAGCTCATTGTAATGACGCTCTTTTCCCGCACACCAGGCACAACGTACCGCCTAAACTCAACCGCCACAGGTTGCAGCACTGTGACGTTTGCGCGATTTTAGGCCGGAAGTCGCGGCCATCCCGCGAGAGCGTAGCCTCAGATCTCGCGGGAGTTACTCCGGGTTTCCCCGGCTGAAGCGACAAAGCGCGAGTTTATGAGGTTGGTGGTACTATTGTGGTCGCCTCCCTTCAGGTAGGTTTTGGAGGGAAGTCGGGGGCGGGCGCTCTGGGTTGGGGGACGGCCCGGGCCCCGCGTGACGCGGATGTTGTTGTATCTTTATCCAGCCCTGACTCGAACAGCAGAGCCAGCCCCCCGGTGCCGTTTAATCACATCTCCGGGTAGGTACAGCCTTCGTTTCCTTTTGGAAACGACCTCCACACTCTTGGAGGCTTAACCCAGTGTATCTTCACTGCAGCACCATTGCCATTTGCAGCCGGAGAGTCCTTTGTCGTAGAATAGAACATTTGAACCTGCGCATCATAGGTTAGCTGCATCTTTGGTCGGTTTCTATTAAATGCCAGTAGTAACCTATGTCCGCACACACGTGTCTACAGACTTTGACAGATGCTAGAAAAGAGGCAAAAATCGCCTCTCATTGAGACACACAGAGCTTAATTTTATAGAGAGCTCCCATTGTGTTTTCTGTGAGAAAGGTACCCAGGATGCCTAACTCAGATTGTAGAGATCCGGGTGTGGTGGCTCTCATGTAATCCCAACACTGGAAAGACTGAGGCAAGAGCATTGACTGCCAGTCTTCAGTTCGAGGTCAGTATGGGCTATAATGTCTAAAGAAAAAAATGTCAATCCGGGGGCCCTAGCGATCCCCAGCACTGCCTTGAAAAACAAAAGCCCCACCATACTGGTGGAGGCAGGAGGATCAGAAACTTAAGATCATCCTTCACTACATAGCAAGTTGGACCCCCGCCTGGCATAAATGAGACCCTGTATCAAAAATAAATGAATAAATAAGTAAAACTAATTGGAAAGAAAAGAAAACAGAATCCCCAGAAGCAGGAATGAAAAACACTGCACTCAGTGAATGAAATGATGACTGAGAAGTCTTGTGGACTGAATAGTTTAGCAAGAAGGGTATTAGCAGATGAGGGCATCTCTATGGGCGAAGTGTGGCTTTTCAGTGCCGTGACTGGTAGGATTTGGATAGTGAACAGAAGAATGAGCATCACAGAAGGGGGGGGGTATAGGCAAAGGAATAATGGCCAGGACTGTCTTGGGGGTGGTGGGTGTTAAGTAAGTTCTGTGAAGACACGATTGAGTCATTGTTAGTTAACAGCACAGAGGAGTAAAAGAAGTTTTGATGCATAGCTATAAAAAAATAAAAGTTGAGAAGCAGCAAGAAGAAAAACAGATTATAGAAATTGAACAGACTTGGTATAATTGTAGAAGGGCTTATTTGGAGATGGATTAAGGATACACACAGAATTAGGGAGAGCATTTAAGCCTGAAGAAGAACAGTAACTCTGGAGTAGGTATAATCAAAACAAGTCTGGGGAAAAAGTAAGTAGACTGGTCCTTGCCATCAGAGGTGAACAATAGGATTGAGATGAGACCTATAGAGCAATGTGAGAGGACCTATTTTGAGTACTCCAAAGGTTTGAACTCTTCACCCCTGCCTTTGGTCCCAAAGTTAAAAAGAAGTAAATTCAGTGGTCTCTGAAAGCCAACATAAACTTACTTGGGGGTCAGGCCATTACTCCTGACATTAATAGGGACATTTTCCCATTGGAGATCTGTCAATAGTGTTACATTTTCCCATTGGAGATCTGTCAATAGTGTTTATAGAGCTACTCATTACACCAGACGTGTTCCGCGTCACACTTCCTTTAGCTTGATCTGGGGAACAGATGGAAGGAACTACTGCTATCAAGAGCACAGGGCAGTTTCTACAGGTTCTTCAATAGAGGCTGTAGAGTGATTTGCTATAAAAATGGATTTCTTTTAACTGGGATGCATGAGTCTTATCCTGTATTTACTTGTAATTAAAACTGCTTAACTTGGAAAGAATTTCTAAGCTCATCCTCCCACTCTCCCACTGAGGAAGCCTTCCACCATCACACCACATGAATTTTAGTTTCCTGGTAACTTCAGGTGACAGTCCTAGGTATGGACTCTATAGCAGTTTAGAATAAGTCTGTCAAGTCCAGAGTTAGCAAATAGTTGCCCTCCTGTATGTACTGCACTTCCCCAAACCCATAACAGACATGAATAATTGATCATAGCCATTCACTGCTAACCACACTGTTTCTTAGCACCAACTCCTGGCAGTCAGACCAGCTAAGTAGATTTTGCTCACAAGAAACCCTTTGCTATCCCTAGTCAAATCCCTTTTTTACTAGACATTGCATTGTACTTAAATAATATCCACCAAAAACCCTTCCTACTCAGCTTTAAACACCGAGAGTTCCTTCAGTTGCTCTTGTTTTGTTTCCAGAGCATTCTTTGTCTAAATTTAATGAGGACGACAGCAGCACTTTCCCTACCTTGCTTGGCATCGTCTTACTCAGTTTTTTGGTTGTTGTTTGTTTTGTATTTTTTGATTTATTTTATTTATATGTATGTCTGTGCAATGAGTACAGGTGCCCACGGAGGCCAGAAAGCATTAGATCCTCTAAAGCTAGAGGTACAGGCAGTTGTGAGCTGCCCGATGTGGGATCTGGGAATGAGCTTGGGTCCTCTGCCAGAGCAGTATGTCTTCTTTTTCTTTTTATAAGATTTTGTTTTGTTTGAGACAGGGTTTCACTGTGTAGCCTTGGCTGTTGTGGACTTTTTGTAGACCAGGCTGGCCTCAAACTCACAGAGATCCATCTGCCTCTGCCTCCCATAGTGCTGGGATTACAGACATGCTCCACCATGCCCGCCTGTAGTATGTTCTCTTAACTGTTGAGCAATCTTTTTGTTTCAGCTGTCTTGTTTGTTTGTTTGTTTTTCTGAGACAGCATTTTCTCTGTGTATCCTTGGTTGTCCTGGACTTTGTAAATCAGGCTTCTGTTGAACTCACAACAATCAGCCTGCTTCTGCCACTCCGAGTGCTGAGATTAAAGGCCTGTTCTACTATGCCTAGCTTGCCCTAGCTGTCTTACTCTTCATTCAGAATAGAATTCTTTACATTCATTTCTTGACATGTTAGCCTCTTGGATTACTGAGCAATAAATTTAAACTTTGGGTTCATATTTCTTTTACTCTAGGTTTCTCTTTTGTTGTGCAGTTTGTTACTGGTTTTGGTTTTTTGAGACAGTCTCCTACTGTGGCCTAGGCTGGCTTGTTCTCCTGTTTTAGCCTCCCAGGTTCTTATAGATGCTAGCCACTATACCTGGCTTCTGTTGGTTTCAAAATTCAATTACAAGATTGTCTCAACCTTTTATATCTTAAAAATTTCATGTAACACTTGTGACCTTACAGGTCTTCCTTCTTCCCCACCCTACCCCACTTTGAGACAGGGTCTCTCTGTGTAGTCTTGGCTGTCCTATGTCTCAAATGTAGGCCATGCTGATTTAGCCCCACAAAGATTCAACTCTTACTGCCTCCCAAGTACATGTCACCACACCTAGCAATGGAGATATTTTTTTTTATTCTGACATTTGCCTGCTAGTAAACTTTCTTGTTGTTATTTTTGTTTTGCAATACAGACTTTCTCTGTGTAGTCTTGGCCATACTGGAATCACTCTGTAGACCAGGCTGGCCTCCAACTCACAGTGGTCCACTTACCTCTGCCTCCCTGATTGCTTGGACTGTGCCCAGCTGCTAATAAACTCTTCATAGCTGCCTTGTATTTGAATGTGATAAGTTGTCTTCAAGCTACTAATTTAGTGTAAACTATGATACTACAGATCTATAATCTAAGCACTCCAGAGGCTGAAACAAGAGGATCCTGAGTTCAAAGCCAGCCTGAGCTACACAGCAAGACCCTGCCCCAAAACAAAACAAAAACTTATTGGTCCAAATGCTGAACGAAGATTCTGTGGAGACATTAGGCATAAATTGGCATAGAGAATTTAGATATTAAGTCAGCTTTAGGTCGCCCCTTCTTCAACAAATAATGAGTGTTTCCCAGATCCCTAGCACTGTTGTAACCCTGGGGATACAATAGAAAACAAGAGGTATGTCTGTTCTCTGTCACGCAGGCTATAAGTCTCCAGTGTAAATAGAGAATGCAAATGAATAATAACCTGAATTTGGTTGTTTTTGTTTTTAACTTATGGTGGATGAGCTACTGTATAGATAAAAGTCCTGACATGGTGTCTGACCAGAATCAGCTACGTAATATCTATTTTGGTTGATGTTTTAGTCTCTGAATATACCTGGTCATAGATGAGGAGATATCCTTTTATCTGTTTCTCAAAATAGGAATAACATTTACCTATCTCTTAGCATAAAGAACCATTCTGTGCTGTGATTTCTTTAATGTCACTTAACAGTAGACGTAGAATTATTGATCCAAGCTATATAATTTGCCAGGACATTAAGACATGTTTAGATTGAAATGCCTAGGAATTTTTCTAATATCTAACATGAGTCTTGAAGTTTGCATCCAGCCCAGCCTGGGAGCTTGCTGCTGAGAAGTCATGCTTTGTATGTAACAGGGAAAATAGAAATTAAGCATACTTGCTTCTTTTATTTCAGTGTATACCCAGTGCTAGTGGCCCTTCTTTTCTTAATGGTAACCTACAGAGGCATTTGCTTTTGAGAGAGTCTCTCTATTTTGTAGCTCTGGCTGCTCTGGAACTTGCTCTATAGACCAGGCTTGCCTAGAAATCACAGAGATCCACCTGCTGCTATTAAAGGCTTGTCATGCTAGAAAAACATTCTTAATGGATTAGTGTATGAAGAGACATATCATAGGCCCTCGTATTTTCAGACTTATTTTGTGGCATACATCCTTCTGATAGAAGGAAGACAAATACACTGTATAATCTGTGGGAAAACGTTACATTATCTCTTTTGTGTAAAAATGGTCTGTGGTAGCTGCCTCTTAGCTTCCTTTGAAGGGTACCTCCTCAACATTTCTGAGGCAAGCTGATTAATTCCTTGGCCTTTTCTACTTTATATTATGCTTAGCTAACCAGCAACCTCTACTAGTCTTTCCAGGTATGAATATGAACAGTGAACTCCAACTTCAGCCTAACATACTCTATCATATATAGGGATCCTTGAGCTAAATGTTTCAAGTTTTTCAGTCATGGGAATACTGTCTTTATGATATACTACAGGTTTTCCAGTTTCTTTCAGAAGATATTGTACATTGGGTTCTAAAGGACATATCACAGGCATTTAAGGTGTAGGGTCCAATTATAGTTTACCAGAAAGCAGACCATGTTGCCAAACTTAAGTAAAATACTAGAATTCCATACTTCATGTTAATCATTTTGGGTCTCAGTATTGAGGACTAAAAGTGTGTGTTATTTTTTTCTCACTTAATTTGATTAGGAGCTATATATTGAAGACAATGTCTGGAAGCTTCTACTTTGTAATTGTTGGCCACCATGATAATCCAGTTTTTGAAATGGAATTTTTACCACCTGGGAAATCAGAATCCAAAGTACGTATTCAACCTTACATTTATTAAGAATTTTTGGGTTGTTTGTAATGGTATGGCATAATAGTTTCTTAGAACTGAAATAGATCTGGATAGATGAAGCAACGGAGATAGAGCAACAATTAAATTAGGCTTTGGAGTACCACAGACTGACAGAAACCAGTTATGGAAGGAATGTTACCCACTATGGAATGCTTCTTAAGCATATGGAAATGTGGTAGGCCTGGAACAATTTTTGTTGCCTCAAAATGCCACAGTAGTCCATTCTGTTTCAGTAAATCACATTTTTCACCAGTGTAGACATCAATCAGTTTCTACCTGAGGAATAAAAAGAACCTTACTCCCATGTCCTCCTGCTGTCATTGGGACTATAACACTTCATGTCAGTGGCTTTTGCAGCACTGATTACATTGTCCCCAACCTACTGACACTCATGCTGTGTCCAGAAATTCTAAAAGCAATAGCAGAAGTGATGCTCTTTTATTATCAGAATTGTTCCAGAGGAACAAACTCAATTCAAGAACATAATGCCCATCATTCAGAACCTAAATTATAAGATACTTTTCAACTATTCAAATTGTACCACCAAAATAATATGCTATTTTGCCAGTTATTGGTCCTGTGTTATCTCCAAGCTCTGTTTTTAGGATAATATTTAAACTTGGTTTTGAAGTAGTGACAGCAATAGGTTCTCCATGGGAATTGCCACTTACATACTCCAAAGACCTAGTGGGGAGCACCACATGGAAACACTTTCTAACTTGACTCAGCTTACTTCTTTCTACCAAATCACTTATTTAAAGCATTTCCATGGTGTGTGCCTAGTCCCTCAAGAGTGTTCATCAACATGCAGGCCTGGCAAACACTGCTGAGAGACAGACACAGCATATTTGTTTCTCTAAGGAGTCAGGTTTCTTTGGCATGGCAGCATTAGGGATGTAAACATACTTGAGCTGTAAAAGGGTTCTGGGCAACTGGTGAACTTCCACCAACTTCATCGTGGGAGCAAACTCCTCAGTAAAAAAGGTTATACTAGTTTCTTATGGGTGTCATAGCACAGTGCCAAAACTTGAATGGCTTAGAATAGAAATACATTGGCAGTTTTAAAAGCAAATGTCTGAAATTGAGGCCTTGGCAAGACCTTACTCCTATGGAAAGTAGTTCACTTGGCTTCTGGCAGCTTAGTGCTAGTCTTCTTGTCTCATTCTCCTTGTATACATGTGTCCAAATCTCCCATTTATTTATTTTTATTTTTTGTGGGGGAGGATGTGAATGTCCTGGAATTCACTAGGTGGCCTAGGATGGCCTCCAATTCAGGATGATTCTCTGTCCTCAACCCACTTAATGCCGGGATTACAGGTATAAGCCACCACATAGCAAACCTTTTTCTAAGGACAGCAAGTAAACTGGATTAGAGACCCACTCTACTCCAGAATGACCTCATCTTAACTAACCACATCTGCAGTGACCCTTTCTCTAAGGCCACATTCTGAAGACCATATGACCTTTTTTTTTAAGATTTATTTATTATTTATTATGTATACAGTATTCTCCCTGTATGTCAGAAGAGGGCACAAGATCTCATTATAGATGGTTGTAAGCCACCATCTCATTGCTGGGAATTTAACTCAGGACCTTTAGAAGAACAGCCAGAGCTCTTAACTTCTGAGCCATCTCTCCAACCCAGACCATATGACTTTTGAGAAGGACTCTGTACACCAGTGGTTCTCAACCTTCCTAATGCTGCGACCTCTTAATGAAGTTTTACATGTTGTGGTGACCCCCCCCCCATATAAAATTATTTTGTTGCTACTCCATAACTGTAATTTTGCTAGTTGTGATTTGTAATTATCTGATATGCAAATGGTCTTAGGTAACCCCTGTGAAAGGGTCATTCAACCCCCAACGGGGTTACTACCCAGTTTGAGAGCCACTGGCAGGTTGTTTTTTGGAAAACACAGGAGTTTGGATTATGAGTCTTAATATCTGCTTTGATACACTGCTAGGTAGAGTCTTTCAGAGGCCCTCTGTGGTAGGCTCTTGTCCAGTTACTTGTTTACTCCTACATCCAATGTCCATCCCATTTGTCTTTCTAAGTGAGGATTGATCATCATATCCTGGGTCCTCTTTCTTGTTTTTCTTCTTTAGGTGGATAGATTTCAGTATATTTATCCTATCTTGTAGGTCTATGTAAGTGAGTATATACCCTGTGTGTCTTTCTGCTTTGGGGATACCTCACTCAGGATGATCGTTTCTAGGTCCCACCATTTGCCTGCAAATTTCATGATTTCCTCGTTTTTAATTGCTGAGTAATATTCCATTGTATAAAAGTACCACAATTTCTGTATCCATGCCTCAACTGAGGGACATCTGGGTTTTTTCCAGGTTCTGGCTGTTATGAATAAAGTTGCTACAAACATGGTTGAGCAAATGTCCTTGTTGTGTACTTGAGCCTCTTTTGGATATATGCCTAGAAGTGGTATAGCTGGATCTTGAGGAAGCACTATTCCTAATTGTCTGAGAAAGCGCCAGATTGATTTCCAAAGTGGTTGTACAAGTTTGCATTCCCACCAGCAATGGAGGAGGGTTCCCCTTTCTCTACAACTTCTCCATCATGTGTTGTCAATTGAGTTTTTTATCTTAGCCATTCTGGTGGATGTCAGGTGAAATCTCAGGGTCATTTTAATTTGTATCTCTCTGATGGCTAAGGACGTTGAGCATTTCCAGCAGAATGCAGGGAATCAAAAAAAAGGGAAGGGAGTTAATACCACCTGGAGAGGACAGGAGTTCCACAAGTATCAACTATATCTGGGCACAGGGGTCTTTAATGAGACTGTTTCTCCAAACAAGGAGGATGTATGGATGCAACCTAGAGCCCCTGCTCAGATGTAGCCATTGGTAGCTCAGTATCCAAGTGAGTACCCTAATAAGGGGAACAGGGACTGTTTCCGACATGAACTCGATGGCGGGCCCTTTGACACCCCCACCCCCAGGGAGGAGCAGCCTTGCTAGACCACAGAGGAAGACTTTGCAGCCAGTCCTGAAGACACCTGATAAACCAGTATCAGATGTAAGGTTGGAGGTCCTCCCTTATCAGTGGACTTGGAAAGGGGCAGGGAGGAGATGAGGGTGAGAAGGTGGGGTTGGGAGGGAAAGAGGGAGTGGGATACAGCAGGGATACAAAGTTAACAAACTGTAACTAATGTTAAAAAATAAAAAGAAAAAAGAAAACACAGGAGTAAGACTTCATCCAGTCTCTGTGAGTTTGAGGCCAGCTTGGTCTACAAAGTGAGTCCAGGATACCCAATGCTACACAGAAAAGCCCTGTCTCAAGGGGGGAAAAAGAAGAGAGAAGAAAAGAGGAGGAGGGAAAGAAGAAGAAGAAGAAGAAGAAGACGACAACAACTTCATCCATGTTGTGAATTTCCTCTATACATTATAGTGAGTCATTCCTACCATCTTTCCAATTAGGCCATTTTGCCCATAAAAAGGACAATCTTGGTTCTGACAGAATTGTTTCTGCTGTTGACAACTCACGCTTGGGATGAGGGGGACTCCCTCCCCCCATCTCAGATCCCAAACCATGTAAGCTCTGTTCTGCAAGAGGGCTATCATACCACACGTGCCACCTCAGCTATCTCTGCTGCTTTTCCTCAGAAAGCCTGGCTCTCCCTGTTGCCTCCAGCCCTTGAGGTCCCATGTGTATACCATCCCTTTGCATCTGTCCTTGATTTCCACTTTGGTCTCCACCTGGAGAAAGTGCTCTCTTTGATCCACATCTGCTTACACATATTTTGTGTGTTTCTCTTCTAATAAGATAATGGGTTTCTGGAAAGTAGCATCTGCTTTATTTCCTCCTTTAAAAGTAGTAGTCTCGGAGCTGGAGAGATGGCTCAGAGGTTAAGAGCACTGACTGTTCTTCCAAAGGTCCTGAGTTCAATTTCTATCAACCACATGGTGGTTCACAACCATCTATAATGAGATCTGGTGCCCTCTTCTGGTGTGGAGGTATATAGGCAGGCAGAACACTGTATACATAATACATGAAATAAAAAAAGGTGAGTCTTTCTTCATATGATTAAATAGTTGCCTTCTACCAGTATTAAAATAGTATCTTGAAGACATTAATTGGTGTTCCTGTTGTTTATGAGTGATAGATACCAAGATTGTAAAGGTATATCTTTTATTTCTCATGACAATAATGTATGAAGTAAATGTAAAGAGTCCTCCCTAACAAAAACATGTATGGAATTTATAGGATGAAAACCAGGCATACTGGTACATACCTGTAGTCCTAACAGGAGGAGGGAGGCTGAGGCAGGGTCAGGAGCTCATGACCATTCTAGGCTACATAGTAAGGCTATATCTTAAAATAAGAAAAAACACACATGATACACAGAAATTGACAGAATGTATTGTTAGTGTTCCCAATGCCATATGGCAGTGTTCATCTTTCTCCATTCTCTGTCTTTAGGATGATCACCGTCATCTGAACCAGTTTATAGCTCATGCTGCTCTCGACCTTGTGGATGAAAACATGTGGCTTTCTAACAACATGTACTTAAAAACCGTGGACAAATTCAATGAGTGGTTTGTGTCAGCATTTGTCACTGCAGGACATATCCTTATCTTATGGTAGTTTGCTTTCTCTGGCTGTTATAAACATCATGACCAAAACCAACTTCAGAAAGGAAAGGGTTTATTTAGCTTATACTTCCCAAGTTGCAGTCCATTGCTGAGGGAAGTCTGGACAGTACCTCAAGCAAAAACTGAAGCAGAGACCATAGAGGAATACTATATACTGGGCCCACCTGCCTATAGATGGTACTTTTTAAGTTTTTTTTTAATGTTTTTTTTAATGGGTATGTTTTGTTGTTTTTACCTGTTTTTATGTTTTTAATTTATTTATTACAATTTATTCAGTTTATATCTCCGCTGTAGCCCCCACCCTCATCTCTTCCTAGTCCCACCCACCCTTCTCCTTCTCTCCCTATACCCTTCCCCTAGTCCCCTGATAGGGGAGGATCTCCTCCCCTTCTATCTGACCCTAGACTTATCAGCTCTCGTCAGGGCTTGCTGCATCATCTTCCTCTGTGGCTTGGCAAGGCTGCACCCCCCCAGGGGGAGGTGAACAAAGAGCCAGCCACTGAGTTCATGTCAGAGAAAGCTCCTGATCCACTTACTAAGGAACCCACTTGGAAACTAAGCAGCCTATGCGCTTCCTCTGAGCAAGAGGTCTAGGTCCTTTTCCATGCATGGGCCTTAGTTAGATTATCAGTTTCTGCAGGACCTCCTGGGCCCAGGTTTTTTGGCTCTGTTGGTCTCCTTGTGGATTTCCTGTTCCCTCAAGGTCTTTCTATCTCCCTCTTATTCCATAAGGTTTCCTGTACTCTGCTATGTTTGACTATGAGTGTCAAGTATCTCCTTTGATACCCTGGTGGTTAGAGTCTTTCAGAAGTTCCCTGTGGAAGGGCTCCTGTCCTGCTGTTCCTAGTCTTCTTCTACTTCCTATGTCGATCCTGTTAAATGGATAATTTTAAAGTGTCTCACATGTAAAACTAGGGATTATCTGAACCATACCAAAGGCTATTTTACTTTATGTCTCCTTAATATAATGCTAAGTTGACTTTAAGCCAGTTTATATATTCAACTTTGCCATCACAAAGTGCAGTTTATGTGACTAATTTGAAGATTATCTTATCAGATGATTGCTTTAACTGTTTCATTTCTAGTAAAGATTATGCCTTAATTTTTTCACATATGAGATTTATTATGCTTCATGATGTGAGGCAAGAAGATGGAATAAAGAACTTCTTTACTGAAGTCTATGATTTATATATAAAGGTATGATATGTTCTATAATTTAAAATAATGATTTTTAAACGATAGGGCTAGAGACATAGCCCACATTAAGGTATAAACATCAGTTTCTCTTATCATTAGTAATTCCATTTTAGTGTTTTCTCATGTATTATGAAGCACTTATATTAGTTAAGGAACTGATGAGTTTTAGGTTTATGGTAAAGCAAAGTATTAAAACCCCAAATTGAAAGAATTACAAGGCACAGTGACAGATGTCTGTAATCCCAGCACTTGGGAATATCATGAGTTTGAGGCCAGCTGAGCTACACAAGGGGGGTGGGGGAGGTGTAAAAATCTTAGCTGTGGTATATATACTTTTTAAAAAACTGAACATGAGACACTTAACATTTGTTTACTTAATCCAATGGGCCATATAGATTGATCACTTTATAATGAATATAAGGTAGATTCAAGATCCATGCTAATGTATATAGGCCATATCAGTCATACTGCTATTAGGTTAGAGGCAGGTTCTTCTCAAAACTAAATGTTGGAACACAGAATTCCTGAAGAGAAGCCAGATAAGGGCATACATAACCTATGCTCCCAGCACTTAGGAGGTAGAATAGAAAAATCAGTTCAAAGCCAGTCTCAGATATATGGTTAGTCTGAGGCTGCTTTTGACTACACAAGGCCCTATCTCAGACAAACAGGTACCGCTTACTACCAAATTCCAAGAGTTGGGAGACTGTGGAAGGATTGCAGTGACTTTAAGGCTGGTCTGGTTACAGAGTTTGAGGCTAGGCTAGGTGACAGAATGAAAACCTGTATCCCAGAAATTTTTTCTTTATGATGTTTTTGTTCTTTTTCAAGACAGGGTCTCTGGTCTTGGTTGTCTTGGAACTTGTTCTGTAGACCAGGCTTGCCTCAAAGTCACAGATAACGGCCTGCCTCTGCTTCCCAAGTGCTGGGACTAAAGGTGTGTGCCACCACTGCCTGCCTGTTTATTTTTTAAAGATTGTTGTTGCATTTTTTTTTGTGTGTGTGTCTATTTGGGAGAATGGGTGTTGGAGAGAGATGATCCATGTCGTGGTGTACATAATGGAGGGAGGTTAGGTCAGCTTGCAGGAATCAGGTCTCCTTCTACCACACGGGTCCTGGAGATGGAAATCTGCTTTGTCTAGCTTGACAGGCACTGGGCCTGTTTATTTTTTATTTATTTGTTTTTGAGATAGTTTCATGTAGCCCAGTCTGGTCTTGAACTACTGTGCAGCTAAAGCTTGCCTTGAATTCCTGATCCTCCTACACCTCCCAAGTGCAGAAATTACAAGGGCATGCAACCACACCTGGCTAAGATGTTATAATTTAACAATGGGCACCCTTCTTTGAGAGGCCCTGCAAATATGCAGTGGTATACCTTATTTCCTACCTATCTCTTTCTCTTTAACCGTCATAATTATTTTATACTTAACTACAGCTCTGCTTCATTTAAAAAAAAAATAACAATGGAGAACTTCCAATAAGAATTGAAAATGAAAATCAGAATTTTGTCTTTGCTAAATTTTAAGCTAAAAATGTAAATTTCCTTTAGCAACCTGTGATTTATCAGACTCTTTACATTAACAGGCTCACTAATACTTTTTTCTTTCTTAGTTTGCAATGAATCCATTTTATGAACCCAATTCTCCTATTCGATCGAGTGCATTTGACAGAAAAGTTCAGTTTCTTGGGAAGAAACACCTCTTAAGCTAAATGGGAAAAAAGTCTGAAGTAAATAGTATCACCATCATGGGCTATACTTGGTAATGTGTGCACTGTAAGTAATTTGAAACAGCCTGGAAAACTTTCACCTAAAATTCTACATGGTTTCATGTTGATTATAATTTCATGTTGTTTGTGAACAGTGTTATTTATTTATAAAGAGCTCTTTACCAGTACTTTTAAATGTTTTTTTATTAAATAGCTTGAGAATGAACTTTGTCTTTCCTGACTGAGGTAATCTGATCGTAATTTATTAAATCAAAAGCAAATGTCATTAAATAGCTGTTAGATGGATTTAAAACTAAAAGGTTCTGTAAACATGAAGAAAAACTGCATTATTTTTACATTTAGAAATGTTCTTTTAAAATGCTTAAAACGCTGCAGTATCAAGAAGCTGAAGCAGAAAGCCTCTGCTTGTTACATGGTTACAGAACTCTGTCAGAGGCTGAGAATAATGATCCTGTGGAACTCTAAACCCCAGGACTGGGTTTACAGAGTACACTGGGCCAGTTACAGGCCCTGGCAGAGTGTGTTGCCTCTGTCACCTTATATTCTTGTGTTTTCCTTCTCTTAGTAAACTGAAGGTTTAATGACCTTGTTAATATCTATACTTGAAAAAAATGTTATAATAAAAGTATTAAAATAAAATGTATTACTACTAAAAGCCTGGGTTACACTGACGTTTGCACTTAGCCTTTTAGGCTATGTATGGGGTGAGAGGTGGTAGATGTGGCCTCTTCTATAAGAAATGTTGGTTTGATCTTACAATAGTATATATGCATGGAAAAGCAAGTAAACAAGATTTTCATGTATACACTAGAAAAATTCTTCATTCTAATTTTTGAAAAACCAGTTCTAAGCTTTCTTGTATTCTTTGGTGAAGTTGTTACCATCACTTTTGTTTTTTTTATTTCTTAAATAAAGATTTATATCCAAGAGTGTGGTAGTCTGGTACCTACTTTTAAAATGCAGATCAACACCAATACTTTTTTAACCCCATTTCCCTACTGAAATCTGAAAACTAATATGGTACATCTTAACCCATTTAATAGCTCAGATCACAGATCACCTCTTACTAGCTGATAAAGGCACTCAAGTAAAAATTTGTGACTTGAGGCTGGAGAGACATTACTCAGCAGTTAAGATGTTTTGTAGAGCCAGTCATGGTGGCACATGCCTGTGATTCCAGCACTCACAGACAGATAAAAGAGACAGGTGCATCTCCTTGAGTTCTCGGCCAACCTGGTTTACAAAGCAAGTTCAAGACAGCCAAGGCTACACAGAAAAGCCCTGTCCCAAAAATCAAACAAACAAACAAACAAAAGGTTTTGTACTTGCAGGTGACCCAAGTTGGTTTTACAGCACCATGTTGGAGTGAGTTTAGAGGGATTCAGTGCCTCTGGTTTCCCTGAGTACCTGCACTTAATAGGCACATGCCACCATATGCACATACTATTAAAAACAATAAATCTTTAAAAAGTCTGGCACTTTGAACAATGCTGATAAAGAGACCGAGATACGTATTTATCATATACAACTTGTCTCACCCTCAATGAACACATAACCCTGATCCAGGGAAGTGCGTGTGTGACCTTCAAGAAGCCTGGGTAAGTCAGCAATGACTGGGACCTCAGAGTGTTCAAATAGGAAAGCAGCATCCCAGGAATAGAGGCATGGAGCCCAAACCTGTGTAAGCATTAATCTGGCTCATCTGACAAAGCTTGTCTCATGGGCAGTTATCCCTACCACACATAAAATTCTTTGTTGATGCTAAATTTATAGTATATATTCATACTCCAAAAAGGTGATCCAGATAAAAATACACAAACCTGGTTGTGTTCTTTCTGTAGCTGGAAATTCCTAGGATATTTTACTCAGTGTCCGTGTTTCTGATACATTTCTAGTATGTTGGCATTAAGTCTTTGCTCTGTCCATACTGTGGCTTTTTAAAGTTTTATTTATTCATTAGTGTGTGGGTATGAAGCTTGGAGGGAGGGTGCATGTGCTTTGGCATGCATGTAGTCAAAGGACAGTGCAGACCCAGTTTTTCCTTTCCACCTTTCCATTGGTATTGGTTCCAGGGATTGAACTCATGTAGTCAGGTATGTGAGACTTTTACCCACTGAGCAATCTGACTCCTACCTTCCCCTCCAGCCTGCCTACTCCCTGAGATAGGGTTTCTCTGTGTAGCCCTGCTGTCCCGGAACTCACCAAGAGAATGTGTGGCCAAGCTGACAGGATTATTAGGAAAGACATGCTAGAGGAAGGGAAGATAAGTCCCTGGACTGGAGAGGTTTTGGAGTTTGGATACCAAGAAAGGAGGCACAGGTAATGAGTCTAGAGACTAGCTTCTGCTTTGATATGCTAGTAGACATCACAGTTATTCATTTGTCCTTAGTTTCTTAGGGACCTGCGGCCATATATAAGTCCCTTCCAAGGGGCCTCTGTATAAGCTCCTGCCTCAAGAATCCTTCCCTGATTGAGTTCCTGTCCTGACTTCCTTTGAGAAGTTTCTTAGTCATTGTGTTTCATCACAGCAATAGTAACCCTGAGTAAGACAGAGATCATTGCTGAAAGTTGTTTTTTATAACAAAATGTTTTGAGGAAAACCACAACAACAACAACAACAAAAAAAAAAAAACACTGAATAAGCCAAAGGCAGTTGTTGGTTTTCCTCCTGCCTGGGGGCTAATTTCCAGAAGCCCACAAAATCAGGAGGTAAGCTTGTCTGGGATCACACACCCCAGGAACAGCTCATGGCTACTTTAATTCCTGAGAACGAAGGTTATATACTCCTTGCAGAGGGGGTGGGAAGCTCCAAGAATAGATGTACCAAGAATAGGTAGGTGTATGTAATTGGTTGGAACTAGGCACTTCAAGGATGCTTGATTTGCATTACATAGAATTCTCCTATCATAAGAATAGAAGCTCAATGCCTAAATAACATTGAGCCCCAGGAAGGGGAAAGCTAGCAGGGAGCTGTGTCAGAGGCCACACATCAAATGTGGTTAGGGGAGTCTGTATGTAAAGACATTCTCCAGGTGAAGCCAGGCAGAGAGCAGGGTACCCCATTTAGGGGGAGGTATTCCTGCCTTTAATGCTGAGCTCAAAAAGGGCTATCCTTGATGGCTCTCCAGACCAGGTGAGAATTGTAGCCTCAACCAGCAGGGTACCTCCAACATGCAGTTGCACATGCCTGTAATCCCAGTACTCAGGGAGGCAGAGGCAGGCGGATCTCTGTGAGTTTGAGGCCAGCCTGGTCTAAAAAGCAAGTCTAAAACAGCCAAGGCTGCACAGAGAATCCCTGTCTCAAAAAGCCAAAAAAAAAAAAAAATTCACTGAATAGTGACAGAGAAGATACTTAGGAAATACCTAAGTACAAGCATCTTCATTACTTTCTCAGAAAGTACAATCCTGGACCGAAGATATAGCTCACCCTGCTAGGGCATGCATTAGACACAGCAAAACAGGCTCATGCCTGTAATCTATAATTCAGAAGATGGAGGCGAGAAGACCTCAACTTCAGCCTCTGTCTTATTTTTTTTTTTAAGGAACGTAAATAAATATCCATAAAGCTAGCTCCTTTGTTGGGAAGAGGGATACGTGTGTGCCACACAATTGAATAAATAAATGTGAGGTAGATTCTAATATGTAAAATGAGTAAGTTAATCTTAAAGAGATGAGGTAAACAAATCAAAAAGCATTGCAACATAAAGAAATGCATTAGAGTTTAATCTTTAATAGTAATGCTGTAGGAATTTACTTTCCTGGACCAAGAATAGAATGCTAATTACATAAAAATATACACATATAAAAGTAATTCTCCATCTCCATTTTCTTGTGGGGAAAAACAATCTAAGTCTAACTTCTAGAATAGTCAAGGTTTTTATTTGAATTAAAACTCAATTCTTGGTCATCTTATTAGCGCTAACATTTTAAATTAAAGAAACATTAGACAACCATTACAATTTATAAATGTAATGTGTCACTGAGTAAATAGATTCCTCCAGAGTGAATGTGTCCCTTCTCCCATCAACTATTGAGGCAGCGACATTCGTTAGTTGAATTTTATTAGTAGATGAACCCTGCTGCAAACACTAATTATCTCATGTGTATGCGTGTGTGTTTGTGTGTGTTGGTTAGAATACACCATCTCTTTAATGCCATTAACAGCATGATGAGTTTGGCTTGGGCTTTCGGTGCAGATTGACTGTGTCTGTCTGGATCAGGTGATCTGACCTATCTTCTGTAGCCAGAACTCTCCGAACTGCCTCCTCAAAGGCTGCTGCAACATTGGTGGAATCTTTTGCACTCGTTTCAAAGTAAGGACAGTCGCCATTGTCCCTGCACCAGGCTTGGGCTTCTTCTGTAGACACCTGCCGTTCGCTTATATCAATCTTGTTGCCCAAAATAACAAAAGGAAAGCTTTCAGGCTCTTTCACATCTGCATAATACAGGAATTCTTTCTTCCAGTTGCTCAAATTCTGGAAGCTTTGTGAATCATCAACACTAAAAGTAAGCAGGCAACAGTCAGAACCTCTGTAAAATGGTGTCCTCAGGCTTCGGAATCGCTCTTGACCAGCTGTGTCCCAAATCTGCATGGTAACAAAATGTCCATCCACCTCCAAATCTTTATTTAAAAATTCCACACCTATTGTGTGGAAGAGCTGGGCATCAAATTTATTGGTAACATATCTGTTCATAAGAGAACTCTTGCCAACTCCACCATCTCCAAGAAGAATTACTTTAAAAAGAGATGATTTTCCTGCCATTATTAATTGTATTTTGATTTCAGAATCCTGTAAATAAAAATAAAAAGTTACCATTATATGTCTTTATACTGGTACAATCCATACAATTCTAACAAAATCAGTATTTAAGTAAAATAAAACACATATAGCCCTGATTCTTTTTTGCAAAAGGACTAACTACCTAAATAATGAGAACTGTCATTTACTGTCACTTAGACATGTACCTACCAACACCTATCCAACTATTATTCCCTAGAAATGACCTTAAAGGTTCTCTCTTTATTGCCCTTCCTCACACCACAGCTGACTGTGAAGCTGGACTTGAGATCAAATCTAACCTGAAAGACCTTTCTCTAAACCATCATTATCATAATCTCCTCCCAGCCCCAGCCACCCTAAATTGAGGTAACAAGCATCCGGAGTCTGTAGGTTTCTTTAACAACTTCAAACAGCCACTCATTCCCCAGTTCACTGACATAAGCTATTCCCTACTGTCCTTCCCCTTCTCACTTCAGATATAGGCACCACTGAGGAGGGAAGTCAGAGATTTCCAGAAACTCACTGATTCAGCTAAGAAATAAAAATCAATCAACCATAGTACAAAGTTTACTGTCTTCACTGGGAATACTATTTTAGTTGCTCAGATCAGTATAAGCAGCAGTGGACCTTTTTCATATAGATGAGCATATTCTACTCATAAGACTCATTTGGGCAGCTCCGACTTTTACCAAGTATGTGCCTATTCTCCCTCCCTCCCTCCCCACTCTCTGTCTATCTGTGTGTGTGTGAGTGAGAGAGAGAGAGAGAAAGAGACGTGCACACATAAGATGCAAGGAGGAGAGGTCAATGTTAGATGTCTTCCACCGTTTTATTGTTGGGCAGGGAGATGGGAGTTTTTGAGACGAGGTCTTACCTAAAGCTTCACTAACTTTGCTAGGCTGGGTGCCAGCAAGCCAGACACCCTCCTCACCACTGCCTCAATGGTGCTGGGATTACAGGTGCATTTCCAAACCCATCTTTTACACAGGTACTGAGAACACCAATTCAGGTACTCATGCTTGCAGGGCAAGCACTTTAGCCCCCACATGTATGTTTGAAGTAGAATGAATGAAATCTTAAGTGAAAATGTGCTAATATATTATACACACCCTTTAAAGAAGTCTAGAGGCAGGATTTAAAAAACAAAAAACTTTCCTATACTACAGGAGCCAGTCTGTGGGATGATACTTCTGATGCCTATGACTGATGGCTCCTTATGAGTGCTGATCGGAGCACTGTACCTACTTGATGCTTTAATTTTTCATTATAAAAATTCTAAGCATACACAAAACTTCTGGGTGAAAAACCTAGTCCATTGATTGCTTTTATCAATCTAAAGCAAATCCTGTTTGCTCTATAACTCCCATTCACCTTTCTTTCTACTTCAGTTGAATCAAACTAAATCATCTAATACAAAAATAGTTAAGATGTGTCTATTTTAAGTATATTAAAATTTAAAGGACAAAAAGTGTTTTTTTTTAATATCAGCACTATCCAAAATATATTTTATATAATGATGGAGATGTCCAACATGGCACTCACTAGCTATGTGGCTATTTAGCACTTGATTCTTCACATAATTAATTAATTAAACTGCTGGTGATTGGGCCTTGTGTATGCTAAGCATTAAAACATCTACCACTAAACTACACTTTTTACCCCATTTATTTAACTTCAGCTAATTTAAATGGGCTCATTAAAAAAAGTTTAGCTATACTAGACAACAGAGTTCTAAAATTAAAATGTCCATTAGCTTTATCATGAAAGTGGCTATTATTCACTCTCACAGTGGGAAAATAGTAAACAAATAAAAAAAATGATTGCTTTATCTCATAGGGCAAATTTCTATAACCAGTACAGTTGACATTTTAATATACAAGAATTCTGCATTTCTTTCTATCTATATGTTCTACTGTTCTGGTAAAAATAATAGTAGCTTCAGCAGCAAGAAAAATCAAGTTAGTGGGAAAACATGAATAAAAAATGATCAAATAGCTGGATGTAGTGGTACATGCCTGTAATCCCAGTACTCAGCAAATAGTGACAAGAAAAGCACAAGGTTGAAATCAATAAGCAAGCCTCATATACCTTATGCTTATCCTGTTTCACAATTGTATCAAGAGATCCTAGCAAGTGACTGACCAGACTACCTAGGTTTACATAAAGATGTTCACACTATACTGAAATCATGTAATGATGCATTTCTCATAATGTGTTCCCATTATGCTGTATTTCAACATAGGGAAAGAAACCTGAAACTCACCCAAAATTATTAAAAATCCTTCAATGGTTTATTTTCCAGGCTTGAACAATTAAACTCAAAGTTGACTTTGCCATCTCACCACAGCTGCTCAATAAGTTTCTTCACAGATTAAAACCTACCAATTTGAAGGCAATCTTAAAGTGTTTACAGAGAGGTGAAATATCCCAGGGAAGCTCAAGACAAGATGTTAACGACTCAAAAAAGCTTAGGAAGTCCTTAAAATGGACAGGCTTCACTAAGCCTCTCCTTCCCCAAGACAACAGAAACTACAACTAAGACTTTCAGACTACCCCCAACTGCCTAGAAGAATAGACCATGGAAAGTGCTTAGGTCAATGGTTCTCAACTTGAGGGTTGTGATCCCTTTGCGGGTGGAACTACCCTTTGGGTTGCCTACAACCATCTGCACATCAGATATTTACATTAACATTCATAACAGTAGCAAAATTACAGTTATGAAGTAGCAACAAAAATAATTTTATGGTTGAATTCACCACAAGAGGAACTGTAATAAGGGGTCGCAACAGTAGGACCACTGGCTTAGAGGAAACAAAGAATGGCTGAGCTGCATAGAAAAGGTTTAGACAAACTGAGCCACCACCAAGAGTAGACACTCTCCAACCTGTATAGCTACCTGAAGGCTGTGGAGTGAGCTCCAGGTTTTCTAGCTTTCACAAGCTAACACCCTTGATGATGTGGGCTTTTGTAGGCGCAACTGTCTTTGGGTCATTTCTGCTCCTGTAAGTAAGCCCTCACTCAAATTCCTGTAAGTAACTCCAATAAAAAACACAATTACTCACCAAGCTAGTCTTTAGTGGTTCTGTTGTCAGTTCCCTATCTAGGTGAGTAGATGTTTACTCACAGAAATACTGTCCATGCCTTCGACCAAGCAAGCACATGCTGCTCCCTCAGCTGGTAGAGCTTCTACTCCTACCCCAAACTCACTGCTGTGCCCTTAAACCTCCTCACCTTGGCCATTGCCTCCACTGAGAACCTCTTCCTATTAACCCCCATCCCTCCCCATCAATGTTGTTCTTGTCAGTTTTTAACTGACAGAAACACCAAAGTTTCATGATCTGTTGTGAGATGAAAAGACTTACATAATTTTAGTCTATCAAATTATCTTAGCATTTTAAGTCAACTAACTGAACAGACATAAAGCTTAATTATAGAAGTACAGACTTTAAATCAGATTATAAGATAGATCATGCAATTAGGCCCCACATATCATTACACATATCTACCAAATTGTTTTAGGAATTCTGAGATACCATTTTATGAGGGTATTTTGATCTTTTTTTGTCCTAATTATGTGGGATTTTCTACCTCATGACATCTACACACCAGGTAATGGTTTTGACATGCACATTTACTGTTTAGGGTCTCCCAGATAGTCCAACGTGGGAGCATATGAGCTTTTGATAACATTATTACCACAGATGACCACCTCGATGATTCTAACCTTAGAGTTACACACAAATACACACTGTTATTAATAAATATATAAACCATCTTAGTTCCCAGTGACATTCAAGAGTAAGCCAGCTTCATTCAATCCACTCATTAAGATAATCACATCAAGCTAATGGACGTAAAAATATTTTCTGTTCTTTATTTCTAAAACTCCTACCATGTTACTTTTAAAATTCAGCTAAAGATAAATATAATATGAACTCTGACATTTCACAATTGGTAAGATTGACTAAAAGCAACACTCTTCATCAAGTTTGACATTACTTAATACAGCTAAATTCTACAAATAAAGACATCAGAATGAAAATAAGCATAATACACCAGTGATAAACCTTACCCTAGTAGTTCAGTTCAAACATCGTTATCTGCAAAGAAAATCAAAAAGTTCACATTAGTGATGTGCATTTGTTTTAATGATTTTTTTCTTCTATGGTATTACAGGTTGGACCTAAGGCCTTATAATATGCTAGGCAAGCTCAACCAGTGAACTACAGAACCCTAGCCCTTTTATTACTTTTTCTTTTGAGATAGTGTCTCACTAAGTTGCCAAGGCTGGCCTTAAACCTCCTCTGTAGTCCAAACCAGCCAGCCCCTGAATTTTCAATCCTTCTACCTCAGCCTCCAAAGTAACTAGGATTGCAGGCCTATGCCTGTTTTTCATAAATTTAAGTATAAAAAGAACGAAATGTTTTTTTAAAAGAATTTGCAACATCTATATTTTTAATTTAAAAACACGTAAGTGCTATCTATGACCTATCTCAACCTAAAAATAGCCCTACATCAAATACTGTATTTTAATTTCTGTTTTTCCTTTGTCAAGCTTTTTTACCTGCCCATCCTTCTTTTC